TGATATGAGCCAACAGGAAAAAAAGAAGCAGACAGGTAATTGGACTTGAATAACATATAGTACAGACCGATCCTCAGGTTTATAAAATTAGCAGTAAAGGAATCAAAAATACTCATAAAAAGATTTCTGAATCCACAAAGTTAAGTAAATTTATCCACAGTATTTTGTTAAAGATTAAAAGTTAATCATATTATACAGGGAAAATTGTCAAATCTCCAATATTTTTGCAGAAAAAGCGAATTGGAATATCAGCAATGCATTTTCTCATTGCAAACTGATCAACAAATAAATTTTTAGGTTCAAGAACGATAGGTATCCAAGCATTCAGAGAAAATGTCATGATTTTATACGTATTTGGTATTTTTTGTCTTCTATTTTCGTCATGTATTCTATAATAATGTAAAAGGCTTTTACTATCATTGCAAGACACCACAAATCACATCTTATTTCATATCATTCTAATAAGCATTGGTATCTAAGGCTGGTTTCAAGAAAATCTTATTTATCTTAAACTGTATTTTTCCCTTTTAAAGGGTGCAAATATCAACTTTTATAAGACCTTTTCTAATACTGCCTAAAAACTTGGCTCGTATAAAAATGAATAAGATAAAAATTGATGCATGAAAAAAAGGTCGTTTTCAAGCTTCATTTTGATGCATTTCAAATTAAATATTAATTTTTGGAGTTGTCCTTCATGCTTTTTTTTGATAAAAATGGCGTGGTTGTCGGTGTAACGTTGAATATTGACCCGAATTGAAAATTGACCCGGGGTTCATTTTTCAACGTTGAATATTGAACCGGGGGTGTTTTTTTCTCCGTTGAAAATTGAAACAAAAAATTCTCAAGTACATTAAAGTATTTTTTAAATTTCGACATATTCCTCATATTCTACATTATATCTTTACTAATCTGACAAGCAATTCAATGTTGCCTAAATTTCATATTTGTAATAGTTTATTATTTCATAAGCTGAGAAAATTCGGTTCATTGCATTCGAGATTACAAAAATGCATTTTCATGAATATTAAACTGTAACTATTAATCAACAAAGTTGCTATTACTATTTGTTGTTTCAAACAAGGGATTTAAAGCATTTTTTCTACATAGAACATATATTATTCTGGGTATTGCATGCTCTGTCTTTCGCTTTTTTTTTTATATATAACAGCGAAACTATACATTCCAGAGACTTTGTTTCCTGTTTCGCTTTCGTTTTAAAGTAGAGAATTGATTATTTTATTTTAAGGATGACTGCAAAAGAGATATCTCTTTCATATAAAAAGAGACATTTATTTAGCTTGGAACATGTAGAAAGTATTCCTCTTTGAAAATCTAAAGAGATATTTCTCTAACTAATAAAAATATCTCTTTTAACCTTGTTAAAGAGATATCTCTCTTACTTTAACATATATCTTTATCTTTTAAAGAGATATATCTCTCTAGCTTATTTAGATATATCTCTAAGTGAAAGAGATATCTCTCTTACAAAAAGAGCTAGATATCTCTTTTGTTTAAATATATTTAGATATCCATCTAAAGTATAAAGATATCTGTATAGGCCAAAGAGACATCTCTATATTAAGCTAAAGAGATTTCTAAAAGATTTTTTTTTATTTCACGAATAAATAGTAGTTTAAGGTCTTGCCATAGTTTCTGAGGATTACAAGACATGTTTATTTTTTAGATCAGAGGATGTTCCCATATTATTCTTCTTCTCTCAAAGTACTCAAATATACTTGAACTAAGTATGTACTTTATTTTAAGTGTTAGTCACTAAAATGGTACATCTATAGGGCCGTTTTCCGCATAAAGTGAACCGAACTCTTCATACATTTTTTTAAATACAAGAAACATGAGAAGAATTTCTCCCTGATTCCCCAGACAGAATGTCTAGCAGGTTTAGTTTTAAAAACAATTAATATTCACGATTTATCTTTGGATAAGCAGATCTATCCGGTAAAGAATTATATTCAAAGCTCCTAAGTGTACATTTTTGCAGCTCCCATTACAATTTCAAATTAATCTATACCATTTCAGAGAAGCAAAGATTTTTTAACAAAGAAAATTAGAATTCTACGTGTGAAAAGGATCAACCACTATACTAATAGCCTAATCACTGAGTACATGTTTTTGTAAAAGAAAAGAATCTAGACATGGACAGCACAAAAAGACCTCAGATCCCCTACCTAAAAAACAAAAATAAAAGTCGTCTCTTAAGGAGACTAGGGGGTCAACTAATTATTTTGTTTTAATTAACCACCAGATATATCTTAAATTTTCGGATGTGATATTTTAAGCTGTCAACTATCATTTGGCAAAGAAAAATTTTTAATAAATTTTAGCTTTAAAAATTTGATCATTTTAATTATTATATCTTTAAATGGAGCTCTTCTTCTAATGGAGCTCAAAATAGTCCAAAAATGGCCACGACCACCTCTTTAAATAAGAAAAAGAGATAGGTACGGACTTTTCATGTGGTAGTTAGGACAATGTCGATAGTGTTGATGATCATTCTGGTACACTTTGTAGAACGTGAATATGATTTGACTTTTTAAAAACACGAAAGCGAGGTTATAGACACCATTCTTACAATAAATCTATTAAACATGATTTCTCTATTAATTCGCTAATATTGTATACATGCAAATAATCAATTAGATCTTCATCGTGTCGAACTTTAATTTAATCCGTTCCTTCGACATTTTTCAACTGTAATTTGAAAAGGTATTGCTAAGTACATGCACATACTAGTATTACGATTCTTCAACACCAAAATACAGGTCTGATCTGTTATATTTTTGCTTGAATGCTTTTAAAATTTACCTTTTTCACTATATACAATCGCGTGGGTTTTTTTTTCAGAGTAAATTTTTGTTAAAATTGAAATTATTTTTTAAAAGTTTAAAATGTGGTTCAATAATATTCTGTTAAAGTGATATATGGCGTATTTTTTATAAGTTCAGATTAACTAAAATTAAAAAGATCTTTCTATAAGTTTTGTTACTTTATATAAAGATAGGACTTTCCTGTAAATTACACAATTTAATATAAATCAATCGCGTTTCATAGGTATTCGAGATTTAAAACAATAGCTGATTTATTTCCGACTCCGATAAAAATATCAGGCACAGTTTAAAGTTAATTTAACTACAGAAACATGGGAATATTTAAGTTTAAAATCGGTGAAAATTTTAATTTGAATGTAGATATCTACACATAATCTCGTTTTTTTTTTTATTTTTTAGCTCAGATATATAGCCATATATAGCTTTAAAAGGTAATTAAAGCTAATATGAAAGGTTTTATCACTGGGGATACTGTATAGAAATAAGAATTTCTATATTACCCTGGTATTATGATTATTGCACCTGAACAAACATCAGATGAAGAAAAAAAAAAGGTTTCTATGAGGAAGTATATTAACTGAAAAGCCTACTTGAAGGTTTCTTTTAGAAATCCGCTACAAACAGCCAAAGCCTATTCAAAATTATGAAAAGGGTTCTCCCCTTTTAGTATGTTTATTGAAATTAAATTAAAGATATGGAGCCATTTATTTCATCTTTTTATTTCACAAAAATAACCTGAGGTACAATTTAGTGAATACATATTTAGTGCTGTTTTTATTAAAATATAGATTTTTCACATGAAAATTTTACATGAATTAAGAACCATAATCATGGTATAATATATATTATACATTTAATATATTGAAAAAAAAAGATCAATCGTTACATGACCAGTCTAGAGGTGGAATAAAAAATGTCAGGCGCGGATCCAGCAGATAAATAAGAACCCGTTGGTGCCTTTGAAATATATGCACCGATCGCATAGAATGAAGAGTGGTTCCAATTTAAATAATAAAATATTATACTAGCGACAAAGTCCTGCCTGCACAAAATAAATGAAAAAGAAAAAAATATGATAACATTATTAATATATATTAATATAACAATAAAATGCTTTCTTTGGTTGTTAGTAGGGGAATGAATGAAACAGCTGTTGTAGAAAAAATGCATTCCGCGGATTATGTAAATTTTTTCCGCAATGGCTGCGACATTCCTTTCCGTACTAACAACCAAAGAAAGACATTTTATTGTTTATATTTATATCTGTTTAAATAATCACTTAAGATGGGATTAAAAAAATTAATTATTGTATTAATACTGCAGACGTCTTTGTGTGTTTCATTTATGGAACAGCCACTAATCATGGAATCTGTCCAGGTGACGTGTCTAGTGTAGTTCATGCACTGATTAACGCAATGAGTTTTCTTAAACAATAAAATGCTTTCTTTGTTTAATTGTTATAACTGGAATTAACGGAAGCAGCTGTTGCAGATAAAAAACATCACCTGCGTAAGTGGGTTAAGTAATTTTTTTCTTTGTTTGTTATTACTGGAATTAACGGTCGCAGCTATTGCTGCTGCAGCAGAAAAAATTTACATAACCCGCTTACGCTTATGCAGTTCTTTACCAGATTTCCCCTCTTCTTATATCTAGTGTGGCCCCTACCTCCCCCCCCCCCCCTCCCCACCTTTAGTTTTACACTACTTCAGGATGCTTCTGTCAAAGTTTCAGCTTTCCTGGCCCACCGGTTCTTTTGAGAAGAAGATTTTCCTATATATAACTATGTAAAACTTGGATTCCCTATTGTGGTCTGCCCTACCCCCGGGTGTCATGATTTAAATAATTTAGATTCTACACTACCCAAGGATGCTTTCACATAAGTTTCAGCTTTTCTGGCCCAATGATTCTTGAGGAGAAGATTTTTTAAGATTTTTACGTCATTGATTAAAAATATACAATTCACTTACAATTCAAATTATGACAAAATTATAAAAATATAATATTAAATCAATAATTACAAATTACATTTATTTTAGGTTCCTCAGGTTCCATGGCACAGATTTCAGTGGAAAATGTGTGACCATGTACATAGTGTAATTTAATATTTATATACATATATACATGTACCAAGCGGAAAAATGTATTTCTACAGTATATATATATATATATACAGTCATATACAAATAACCAAGAATAACCAATCTCTGGAAAGAAAATTTTTATCAATAACAAGAAATGTTTGTAAAACACTTATGCCCCCCTCCCCCAAAATTGGATATTTTCTAAGTCCAAAAAGGCATAACTCTAACAAAAAGGGTACGATCGTACCCAAAACATAACTTGATCTAGATATTCAGCTGAAAAATCTGTATACTAAATTTCATTTCAAAATGTGCAACCTCTACAAGGAAAATGAACGGAAACTGCAAATATGTGGAATTTTTCTAAGTTGAAGGAACATACAATGTAACTCTAAGAAAAATGGTGCGATCTTAACCAAAACATGCCTTGATCTAGATATTCAGCTCATAATTCTGCATACCAAATTTCATTTCAATATGTGCAACCTCTGCGAAGAAAATGAATGGAAACTGCAAATAAATGGAATTTTTCTAAGTCCAAGGGGCATAACTCTGTCAAAAATGGTGCGATCATACCCAAAACAAAACTTGACCTAGATATTCACCTGATAAACCTGTATACCAAATTTCATTTTAGTATGTGCAAAGGTTGTGAAGAAATTGAATGGAAACTAAATGGACCGACAGACCGACGGACCGACAGACAGTAGCAAAGCAATATGCCCTCTCTTCTTCGAAAGGGGGCATAAAAAATAATTTTATGAATTTTACTACAATTCATATTTTGTTAGTACATAATTTTATGTAATACAAATTTGTCCAGAGATTCCTCTCATTTCAACTGCCTCACTATTTGTCCTCCAAGCTCCAGCAACTAAGGTGGTGCAAAATTTTTGTCGTAGGAACAAGTTCTTCTGGATTGTTCTAGTCGTTTGGAAGACATAGGTTATTTTGTTCTTGTTCTGAGAACAAAGTGGAACATATTTCTTGCTCTCGCCCAAAGACATCCTTAGAGGAGGTTGCAAATCTTTTCTGACTATTCAAATTATTTTATGGTAAAAGAGGGGGAATTTCCAGGGGTCTGTGTTTTTGCATTTTCTATCCCTGCCGCCTTGTTAATGTACACGAATCCACAGAACACAAGCTCTGGAGTCGAGTACCGTCAAGTTTCGGAAAAAACTCCACCCCAATTCTCCTTTGAATTTCCTCTAGTGAAACTTGAAACTCTGTAAGGGAATACTTGTTTTCTATTGGCTGATTGGGTACGATGAAGCAGCCAATGGCTGAAGGAGTTCCATTTGTTTCCACTAAGATTATTTTGTATAGATGAGTCGGTACAGCCACCTCATTTTTTCCAATCACCTGAAAAAAACAAAAAGAATTTCAAAGCATGGAATAGTAGGACAAGCTATTGTTTAATAATAATGTAGAAAAGTAATATTTTCACAATAATTTTGGCATGCAGGTGTCCTATAGTGAGTAGTCTGCATTTCTGTCTTTCAGCTATCACTGGTCCAATTCATTGCATTTTTCTCACAAAATATATAACTGCAAACACATGCATATGCATACATGTAGCACTGCAGATCAATGATATGCCAATATAACATGTCTCTATCAGTACATGTACCTGGTAACCTTCAAGCTGCTTATTAGTGAATTAATTGGCAATCCTTGAACGACACTGCAACATTGAGGTTGGTTTGTGAGGTACATACATTTATACATGTATGTGCCATGGAAGAAGCACTGAATGAAAAAATGCATTTAGTCTCCCTGCCAAACAGACAAGAGAGTTTTGGACCAAAAAATTAGGCCATCTTTAATTAAAGAATTGATTGGGTACCCTTTTAATAGACTGATTTGGCTAAAATTGACCCAACTCAAAAAATTATTTTACAGTCCAAAACACTATATATGTATTATTTTTTTTACTCCTGTTATCCATCAACAAATATGCTGACATTTTCTGGGAAAAGATTTTCCAACCTTAGTACATACCATCTTCGCTAGCCAAGGGTTTCCGATCCGAAATCTAACGTTGTAGAGTAGATTTCGGATTGGAAACCCTTGGCTAGCAAAGATGAGTACATACTGACTTTATAAATTTACCCTGATTTAAGAGAGGGCAAACAAACATTATTTTAAAGATGACCTAACTCCCAATATTTTGAATGCATACACTGTATAGTAGACTGCAGGTACATGTACCTACTACAATATTGGTCTATATAATTTGCCCAAACACCCAGATTACTACTAGATACATATATAAATCAGACTTACAGGATAAACAACCAGCTTTTGACCTTTCTCATCGGTTTCTGTTGGAAGAACCAGTGGTCCACTGAAGATTTGAACACTGTCAAACCGCTTGGTCAGGTGTCTGCAGTACATTTCAAAGCGATTCCAGAAACCTGAATTATTGTCCATGTCTTGTGGTACAATGTTGGACAAGTAAAATGTGTCATCCATTGCTCTCTGTAAGAAGTATGGATAGTAAATAAATTAAATAAGTAAATTTTCAGAACAAATAGAATGCTTTACGAGCACAGGTTTTGTTTGCTATCAGTTCACCAGACCATACTAACTATTATGTGATCTGGTTCATGATTACATGATCGTGTTTATGATTACGTAATTGGGTTTGTGATTACATGATCAGGTTCATGATTAAGTGATAGGTTTGATTACGTGATCTTGTTTATGATTACATAATAGGGTTCATGATTACGTGATCGTGTTTGTTGTTTAACATTCCTGCAAAATTAGCAATATTAATGGTACATTTTTACATAAAGTATATATATTAAATAAGAGTTATCTCGCTTAAACCACTGTAATTTTTTTCAAAGGGCAACAACACAGTTGTAACTGCAAGCTCGCTTACGCTTTTTCATTGTAATCTGAAGGGTCACTGACAACAGTTATCACCCTAAGGATGAGGGAGACATTACAAATTGTCACACCTCATATGACAGGCTTTTAACCAATCAGATTAACTGTATAATTTTGATGGATAAAAATCTTTGTTATTGCCTGACCATGTTTATTATTACCTAACCATGTTTGTTATGACCTGATCATAATTGTATTTACCTGGTCATGTTTGTTATTACCTGGTCATGTTTGTTATTGCCTGCCGGAGCCATGTGACCTCTTGACCACCCACTTCCCAGGTAATCTTGGTTGTCGGCACTGAAGAGGGACAGAATCTGAGAGTCTGGCATAAACTTGGAATACTTCCTGTTTGCATTTCCTGAATAAATTTTTGCAAAAACAATTTATTTACAAGCTTTTTTAAAAACTTTGTCTTCTTGAAAAAAGGTGAAAAAAACAACCTAATTTGCCAAGTACTATTACTTTGTGCCAAGTTTGATTGGAATTGACCCAGTGGTTCTGCAGATTAAAAAATCCAGACAACAGATAAATTTTAATAGAATATAGCCTCTGAATAGGCTACCTCACTCATGCTATTGACTGAGGTGAGCTGCGACGCATTCGATATGAAATACAGCAATTAAACCAGTTCCATGTTATATATGGCAGAATATTGATTTACACACTTTACCTTGTGCATGTTCCTTTGTAATACACTCAGCAACCCATATAGGGATCTTTTTACTCTGATCATAAGAGAGTACATGGTTTGTGAAGACCTTTGCTTCTTCACCTCTGTTTGGTACCCCATATTTCAGGATCCTTCGCTTTATCTGCTCTAAAAAAATTAAATATATAGAATTTATACAAATGCAGAGGTCTATTGCATTAAAAAGTTCAGTAAGTAGAGCATATGATAGAATGTTCTTTCATTAAAATGATACATAATTAATAGACCCAGTTAAACTGTGGTGAAGGTTTGTCCCGAGACACAGTTTGATTTCTAACTTATAAGAAGTAGAGCATCTGACTTGAGAGGCAGTAGCATGCCTGGGGTTCCCGGTTCGATTCCCAGTCCAACCAAACACAAACTAGATGTTGCATTATAACTGTATATATTTATACTGAGTAAACAGTCTGTACTGGGTAGGTCCTTGACATAAATTCCATAGGCGATCCCCATGTAATACTGTCAATGACGTATGATAAGTATATATCTGGGTCTATCCCTCTATACTATATAGTATAAAGGGGTAGAAAATCCTATATATATATATATATATATATATATATATATATATATATATATATATATATATATATATATATATATATATATAATATATATATATCTTTTTTTATAAAATGTACATTTTCTATTTTGAAATTTATTTTAGAAATAGAGTTATCAGTATTACATGTTAGGTCTGGGCGCACTTAATTATCTATATTTTACGGGGCGCATATATTTTGGTCAAGATATATATATGGCAGGATAGTGTACTATATCTAATTATGTAGTAAATGGGATGGGAAAATTGACTTGATTATTGTGTGCCTATGATAAATTCCTGTTCTTCATACAAACCTTTTACATCATCAGACACTTGTTGATCATACTGATGCTGAATAGACTTTGGGGATTGTGCATACTGATAAACTCCAACAGCAAATAAAGTGGTGACTGTTCCTGCAAAAAACCCACGTGTATATGACATTGTTTACATTAAAATGAAAGTGAAAGCAACATGGTCTGACCGGAAGTGATCGGAACAAATAATTAAATTAATTATAAACTTGGGTTTCTTTAAGTTGAAATGTAATTATATATAAGTATTGAAGAGAAATATTTTTAGAAATTTATACACATGAGATAAGAATAATTGTCCAAAAATAATTTTATCCAATGAGATTCCGAGAAAAGGTTTTGACAGTGACGTCAGTACCACATGTGTTTCTCCCGCTTCCGTCATTTTGTCACTGTTGATCAAAAATTTGGTGTAAATAACCAGAAAAAAGACAAAGGAAGACGATCGGAGAAATAAAGGTAATTCAAGAGAACCTTTTCTTTACAGTAATCAATAAATATTGTCGGCTTATTCTTCATTTCATTCATCGATCTCCGTCATCTACGCCGGTAATTGGTAACTAGTGAACTGATGAGTCTGTAAACATGAAATGAAGTCCACAAACACGGATTCTAATGGGGAGGCGAAAGTTTTTGATGGATACAATGTTTAGTTCATTATTTTTAGTAATCAGTTGTACATTCTTAACAAGGATGGTCCAAGTTCTGATAGTACAGTGTATTACCATACCCTAAACTGTATGTGGCGCATATTGTGTGTTTTACAACAATAGAGTAATATCTAGCCATGAGATTTAAATAAAGGCTATGGCAGTTTCGTAACTATTCAATTTAAAAAATAAAAAAAATAATAGAACTTACCAGTAACCAGTTATAATCACAAAATTTTTAATGTTTCATATTATTTCAATTTGGATGTTTTACAAGAGAAAAGTAAAACATTGATGGGAAACTGAACTAAAGATCTAAAACATGAGAAATTTTTTTTTGAATAAAGGGCTTTTGTAAAGATGCCTTCTGATGCCAAGAAGAAGCGAGACCAGAAGAAGAAAGAAGCCGCCAAGAACAAAGGTAAAAAGAGGACCGAGGACTCGCAGCAGAATGGAGGGATGGAAAACGGGATCAGCAATGGGGCAGATAAAGATGACGGTACGCTGGACCATTTGATTTTTAAATGTTACCAGAACAACAATCTACTGTTGTTTTTTTTCACCTTAGTCTTTACATGCTTCAATTTCAATGGCTGTCAATGTAACTGATCCGAAGGAATAAAATTGTCTCACATTCCTATGATAAAGAAGCAGCATCAGGCTCCGGGGCCATAAAAACGCGATGAGCTCACTTTTGGTCTCGGTCTCATTTTTCCGCTATTAATTCATTTAGTTAGAGTGAGAATGAGGTTAAAAGTGAGTTCATCTAAGACTTATGGCCCAGCAACCAGTATAGACAAATTTGCTAGACAGATTAATTCAAAACAATTATAATATACCCCATGGGGGCAGTAACCTGTCTAACAGAATAAACATTTGCAAAGTCTGCTCACCAAAATTCCTTAATTCCTTGAACAGAGTGTTAGTTAATGTTTTCAGATTTTTGCTTTTCCTGAACAGGCCGCTGTTGATACAATTCACAGGCAGAATTGAACCCTTGATTATGATTGGAATATTATCATGCTAATTGCTTAAACTGGACTATTTCTCAAAATTTTACAGAAATGAATGAGCTTGCCAAGGAATTGGAAGCAGTGGACGTGAAGGCCGAGTATCGCTCTGTGACGGGGGTACTGTTGTCTCACCCTGACAGTCGAGATGTTCAGCTAGGGAACGTGACTCTGACGTTCCATGGAGCAGAACTTCTCTCTGACACTAAGATAGAACTCAACGTCGGACGAAGATACGGGTTAATCGGGCTCAACGGCTGTGGTTAGTGATGGTTTTGTACTGAATATTATTTTCTTTTGTTTTCAGTTCATAAATTTTTTAATCAGACAAAAATGTACCCTGCAAATAAGTTAATGCAAAAGAAGGACCATAATCATAAATAGAATTTCAGAGAGAACAAAATACAATGAAAAAAAGTAAAGATTGCTCCAAGATATGATTTTAAAAGTTAAAATGGTATTAATATTTTGAATAAAAAAAAAAAAGTCATTGTACAGTGTCAAAATGCTGCACTACTACTTTTATGCATTTGGTGAGGGAATTCTTTCTGTTGCCTTGATGTTTGTTCACTGAAATTGCTACGCTGAAATTTCATTTTATGTTCTTTCACCGTACACTCCATTTGTTCACTGTTCACAAAGCATGAAAACATTCGAGAGTCTTGAGGAAGAAATGTGATGCTTTTGACCCTATGTCTTTATATTTCTAAATCAATGACGTGTACAATTACAGGTAAATCTTCACTGTTGTGTGCCTTGGAGTGTAGGGAACTTCCTATACCTGAACATGTAGACATTTATCACCTCCGGCGCGAGATCGAGCCCAGCGATAAAACGGCTCTACAGTGTGTGATAGAAGTGGACAAGGAGAAACTGATGCTGGAAAAAGAGGCCGAAATTCTGGCCACGAGAGAGGATCATGGTAAGTTAAAATAAAAAAATTTTAAAGGAAAAAAAAGCAGTTTTAAACGATTCTATGTAAGATCAATACTTTGGCTCAAAGCTTGAATTTATTTTCATCAGTTTTGGTATTTATACTTGAGACATAATTTTCATGAAGTCTGGTCATTGTTCTTTGTGTCACAATCATATTGTTACTCCTTTTACATTAAAAAGTAAACAGCTAAACAGCTTCTGGTTCAGTATTGAAATCATTTGTACTGCAAATACATGTTTATAATATTGGTAAATTGAGATTTTCGTGAGCCGACAGTCTTCTTTAATTTTGTATAAAGCTATTAAGAATAAAAAGTATTTACTATTAGTAATATTTTTTATACAATCAGAATCTCAGGAGCATTTGATGGATATATATGAGCGTCTTGACGACATGGACGCGGACAAAGCCGAGGCCAAAGCCGGGTACATCCTCCACGGACTGGGCTTCTCCAAGGAGATGCAGAACACCGCCGCCAAACACTTCTCTGGAGGGTGGAGAATGAGGATAGCCCTGGCTCGGGCCCTGTACATCAAGCCCTCGCTGTTACTACTGGACGAGCCCACAAATCACCTTGATCTCGACGCGTGTGTCTGGCTGGAAGAGGAACTCAAAACGTAGGTTTAAACTTGTCTCTGACAGTGACCTGGTTATAAATTACTGTAAACCAACTTTTATTCGCGTGCGAGAAATTTTTGCAATGTTCAGAAAATTAATCATCAAGAACTAGTTTACCCCCGGTATCAATAAAGCATTATATGGAAGTGATTTGCATGAAATTTTGCATTTTTTTAAAATGTTGATCATGAGCATGCTTTTGGCTTAATTCAAAGAAAAAATACCCCAACTAGAACAACTGTAGAAAAGCCAATGAAATACATTAAATTTTATGTGACATGTTTCTTTAATTTTTTTTACAGTTACAAAAGAATTTTAGTGATGATTTCTCATTCACAAGATTTTATGAATGGAGTGTGTACAAATATCATCCACATGGTTAATAAGAAACTGAAGTACTATGGAGTAAGTAGTCTAATACATCCAGAGCTCTGTTGTTGTCATGTTAAAAATCTGTAAAGAAACACACACACATAAAATATAACTGTATGGTAATTATAATGTTGATGTACATGTACTTGTTCTGAAATTATAATGCCTATGTACCTACAGGGTAATTTTGATGTCTTTGTACCTACGGGTAATTTTGATGCCTATGTATTTAAAGGGTAATTATGATGCCTATATACTTGTAGGGTAATTACGATACTTATGTACTTGTAGGGTAATTATGATGCCTTTGTATTTGTAGGGTAATTACGATGCCTATATACTTGTAGGGTAATTATGATGACTATGTACTTGTAGGGTAATTATGATGCCTATGTACTTGTAGGGTAATTATGATGCCTATGTACTTGTAGGGTAATTATGATGCCTATGTACTTGTAGGGTAATTATGATGCCTATGTACTTGTAGGGTAATTATGATGCCTATGTACTTGTAGGGTGTTTATGATGCCTATGTACTTGTAGGGTAATTATGATGCCTATGTACAAACAAGGATGGAGTTGGAAGAAAACCAGATGAAGAGGTACAAGTGGGAACAGGATCAGATCTCACACATGAAGGTGAGGAAAATCAAATAATCATAAAAAACAGTAAAGAGAAGTAAAAAGAGCCTTAAATCTCCCCTTTTACAATATTTAAGCCTTAAAATGACAGAGGTAATGATTTTGATTGTTAAGGTCAAGATCTAGTAAATGAAAGGTGCCTACAGATTTATCAAACTTGAGAAATAAATTCCTTTATTGATGCTTTACAACTTTAGCTTGGTCAAATAAGGTGTTTCCTAATAAAAAAAGATGAAAAACATTTTAAACTGTCATTTTCAATGAAAAATTAATGATATGGGAGTTTTTTTCGTATTAAGCAAAGGAAATATATCCAGATTGCCTACAGTCTCTCAGAAAACGGTAATTAGTATGTTCATGGCCTCTTCTTTAAATCAATATCAAATTTAATATAGGTATCCGGTTTACTTTTCATATGATTTCAAATTGAATGACATGAAAATACCCTATTTTCTACATAATTCTGCTAAAGTCGTAAAGTACGGGAAAAAGAAAGTTGAAATTGATTATGACGTCATAATGGATCTAGCACCAAAAATTAGTCTCAAGTTATTTACTAGATCTTGACCTTAAGACCCCCTTCTTTTCCCCCTTTACAAGAGATATCTCCATATGAGGTAGCTTAAGCCTCTTTTTTTTGATATGATTCCCCCTCCCACCCCCACCCCTCTCCATCCTCCAACCCCATCAAGTTTTTAGGTGAAGAATGTAAAGTTTCTGTTTGTCTGTGATATGATCCTTACCTTTCTCACTTTCACAAAATATGCCTGGAATAGGTTCCATCTGAAATGATTTCTTTGCTTTTCCCTTTCTTACAAGACAGCCCTTTATAAGATGAATGTATTGGTTCTGTTTGATATGATGATATGAAAGGCCGAGTTTTAGTGTTAGAACTCTCCCATAGGGTTTGCCCATAGTGGATTGAGTTCAACACGATGTTCAATACTCTGGAAGCGAATTTAATTCAGTCTGATAAAACAGAAATCCCGGTATTATTTTGCAGTATTCATGCATTTTCTTTAAAACAGGTTAATTTTTTTTGTTAATTTGAGATGCTGTATGAAGAGACCCACAAATTCATTTACCCCACACATTGTTAAAACTCTTTATAACAGTATGAAGTATGTCCTTAACCCGAAAATGAAATCTCCTCAAATTGTAAAAATTAGAGCCCACTTAGATGAATGATTTTACATTATTTTATTTTTAATTATTTACTGTTACTAATCGTGTCCGGTCCATATCTTTCTTACAGGGGACATTAGAATCTACTACTCCACACTAAGATTGCTTATAACCTAAGGGTGTGTCATGACCTTGACCCAAGGTCATTTGGTGAAGTTCAAGGTCACTGGAAGAAAAATTTCACAATTCGTGTCCGGTCCATATCTTTCTTATGGATAAACTTGGTAGGTTCTCATTTCACACAAAGATTGCCCATGACCCAAGGGTGTGTCATGACCTTGACCCAAGGTCATTTGGGGAAGTTCAAGGTCACTGGTAGAAAAATTTCAAAATTCATGTTTGACACATATCTTTTATGGATAAACTTGGTAGGTTCTCATTTCACACAAAGATTGCCCATGACCCAAGGGTGTGTAATGACCTTGACCCAAGGTCATTTGGGGAAGTTCAAGGTCACTGGAAGAAAAATTTCAAAATTCGTGTCATATCTTTTTATAAACTTTAGGTTTTCATTTCACATAAAGATTGCCCATGATCATGTGTCATGACCTTGACCCAAGGTCATTTGGAGAAGTTCAAGGTCTATGGTAGAAAAATTTAATAATTTGTGTCCGGTCCATTCTTTCTTACCTTGGTTTTTCATTTCACACAAAGATTGCCCATGACCCAAGGGTGTGTCATGACCTTGACCCAAGGTCATGTAAGTTGAAGGTCACTTGAAGAAAAATTTAATAATTTGTGTCTGGTCCATATCTTTCTTAAGGATAAACTTGGTAGGTTCTCATTTCACACAAAGATTGCCCATGACCCAAATGACCTTGATCATGTGGGGAAGTTCAAGGTCACTGGAAGAAAAATTTCATAATTCGTGTTCTGTCCATATCTTTCTTATTGATAAACTTGGTAGGTTCTTATTTCACTCAAAGATAAAAAACCTTGACCCAAGGTCATTTGGGGAAGTTCAAGGTCACTGGAAGAAAAATTTTATAATTCGTGTTTGATACATATCTTTGTTATGCAAAAACTTACTTCTGAAAAACCCAGCGGGGGGTATTTTGTCCCGATTGGACAGTTCTAGTTTTATTTAATTATTTACTGTTACTAAACTAAAACATTTACAATGATTGATTAATGTTTTTCAGAACTATATAGCAAGGTTTGGACACGGTAGTGCTAAATTGGCTCGCCAGGCTCAAAGTAAAGAGAAGACCCTGAAAAAGATGGTGGACGGAGGTCTAACAGAGAGAGTCAGCAGGGATAAGGTATATACGGGTCGATAAATATGGATATAAAAGAGGATAAATTATTACAGAACAAAAAACTGCTTTATTTGGCAAATTGTATACACAGTAGAATCAAGTGCTGGTGTATCCACAGATGAATCATTCACATAGTAGTCCAATAAATATGAGTGAATCTCTATTAATCACTTTGGTTAAATTTCATGGTTTCTTTGGAATTTGCAATTTCGCGGAATTCAATATTGATCTTTGAGTTGGTGTTTATCATTGATAACAACACAATCCATGTAAATTAGCCTTATGGAATGATTTTACAGATTTACATTCCCCCAGAACTATATAGAAAACTTGCAGAATTTTTTTTAGCATAATCTGTAAGCCTTTACCAATTGTTTTTGAATTTTTAAAGTTGTCACTTGTAAGTTCTTGATAAAAAATGAGTATTTTTAACCTGTTTCTTGTATTATTTTTCAGACATTAACGTTTTACTTCCCTGACTGTGGCAAGTTACCTCCCCCTGTCATCATGGTCCAACACGTCAGCTTCAGATATAATGAGTCCAAGGTTTGTCCATGTTGATTATGTCTTTGTTTTTCGACTACACTGTTTGAAATAATTTTTTTTTGTATAAATCCTTACATCGTCACTCATTTATAGGATACACTGAAGCAAAATTTCCAATTATTCAAATACTGAATAAAAATAATAAAGTGACAAAGTGAAAAAATATTAAATAAAATGTTTTATTTGAATCCGCATTTGAAAATCCAATTTTCTTATTTTTTTTTACGTGTAATCAGCAGAAAAGTATTGTATTACCCTGTTTTCATTTCTTTACCTCAGCCCTGGATTTACAAGGACCTGGACTTTGGTATGGATTTAGACACCCGAGTAGCTTTAGTTGGTCCTAATGGTGCAGGAAAGTCAACACTTCTTAAACTTATCGCTGGAGAGGTTAGTTAAGGGTGTACTCTCAATTTTCATAAGGTAAAATCATACCAACTTCATCTTGTTAAGAGAGATTTCTCATTTCACCAGCATATGTTAACAAAAAAATGTGTTGTGCTATTTCAGTTAATACCTACGGATGGACTAGTAAGAAGGCATTCCCACCTGAAGATAGGCAGATATCACCAGGTACGAGAAGCTGGAATTGGTCAGGTTTTATCCTAAAAAGTGTTAAACTGAAAAAAGTTTTGCCTTTTAACACATTTTGAATACATCGCTAAATGTAATAAGGTTCCTGTGGTAATGGAGCAAAAGGTTTTGATCAATGGCCTTCTTATTTCAGTCAGGTGTGACAAAAATATGATGTACTTGTTCCATAATTTTTCATTTTATAAATGTGCATGCTCATACCTGTCACTTGGTATCATTTGTATCACAACACTGCATGTACAATGTTTTAAAATATTACAATGTATTTACTTGTACCTTATTCTTTTGGCAGCATTTACAAGAACATCTAGACATGAACATGACGGCCTTAAACTGGATGATGAAGTCATTCCCAGAAATCAAGGAGCGGGAGGAGATGAGGAAGATCATTGGTCGATACGGTCTCTCAGGGCAACAACAGGTAAGGGAATTCATTTCACAGGATGATCACTTGAGAAATTAAAGAAATGATTCCCACATTGGAGGAATTGTTTGAGAATGTACCCCGATAGGCTAGAGGTTTTTTTTTTAGCCCTTTAGTCTAAATATTTTCTTGGTCAAATATACACGGAGCCCAAAGGGCAAGATTTTCATTTTCCAGCAATATCTTGAGACTCCAACAATTCTGATGACGAGGGAATTTTTTTTATTTTGGTACAGCAAATGTTTAAGCCTCTATAAAGATATATGTAAGTAAGATTTAGACTGGCTAGTGTCTCGGAAAAGTTTTCGAAAAGACTGTGCTATTGTTATCGCATGTTAGAATTGGTGCCAATATTCTTTATTGCTCCACTTGGCATTGCATTTCTAATTGCTATACTAGTCAACAAATTTAAGATCTTTTGTGAATTATGTAACTTAATAATATTTTAATTAATTTAATTTTTTATTCAGATTGTACCGATGAAGAACTTGTCTGATGGACAGAGATGCCGAGTTATCTTTGCCTGGTTGGCGTGGCAGAACCCCCACATGTTACTACTGGACGAACCGACCAACCATCTGGACATTGAGACCATCGACTCACTCGCTGACGCCATCAACGACTTCGACGGTGGGCTGGTACTCGTTAGTCACGACTTCAGGCTTATATCACAGGTACTGTAAAGGGAGTTGTTTGTTTTGAAAAAAAAAAGAGAACTAAAATACTGTAAATCACGTTTTATTCGCGAGAACTTTATTTTCGTGTAATTAAGTGAGACAATGAGCTCGCGAAAATTTCATTCTCGCGTTTAAAAATATTCCTTACCGTTATATAAAGAAAAAACAACAATTCATGAAAATTATGTCTCGCTAATAAAGAGTTATGACTATCTCGCGAAAATAAGGTGTCGCGAAAATTAAGTGATCTACAGTAGATGGAGGTGAAACTTCTGGTAAAATATGGAGAAGGGGACTTTGTTCATGGGGACTCCTTGGTATTATAGATTATTTGATTTGTTAAAAATCATTGCAACCTGATATCCAAATATTAAATACTGTAGACATACTTTTTTTTCATGGGATCATATTTCCGCGGAATCTCAATTTCAATTTTATCTGTGGGTTGAAAATTATGCGGATTTCTTAGACTGTCAGCATATGCCTTGCATTTATATAAAAGACGCTTGGGCAAATTTCTGTAGAAAATTTGTGACCGTGTACATAGGCCATATAAAATTGAAATCTTGGTTCTCAGGCCCGCGCGCATCCGTTTTGAGGTAGCCGCATTGCGTATTTTTGATAAAATAAAAAGTTGGTATTGCGGAGACCAATTTATATTTCTTTTGTAGTTTAGTATTCAAATATCACTTCCGGTAGCCATTTACAATGAGATTTTGGCTACTTCGTTTGAGAGGACATTATTGTTTACACGTGTTAAGCAATGGATAAAGCGTTTTGACCAGAAATGTATATCTGTGATTAAAAAAATTATCTTTATGTTAAAGAAAATTCAGAATTAATACCACACAGAAAAGATAACAATTACAGTATATGAACTAGAGACAAGTCTATGTTAACTGAAAATTGATTTCAGATTGCGTGTATTTTATCATTATCTTTTTCTCTGTGAAATGTATTTGAATATAAAAATAATTAATGCTATGATGTGCATCTGTTTATTTATAGGTTGTGGATGAGATTTGGATCTGTGAGAAACAGACTGTCACGAAGTGGGAAGGGGACATTTTTGAATACAAAGAAGCACTGGCCAAGAAAGTCCGCAAACAGATCGCCAAAATGAGGGAAGGTTGACAACGTGATTAAACTAGCTTTATTGTTTTTATAATTAAATTATTGCATACTCTTTATTTTCCTCGGTTTAAATTCCTTTTATTTAAATTGGTGCAAGTCTTTCAAAGATGAACATTCTGTATGAATCATGGTATGATGGTTTTGCAAAGAGAGAAAAAAAAGAGTAGATGATGTTTTTTGGTCAGTAATTGCTGTATAGTTTTAAAAAGTTGTGAGAGCCACATAGTGGAAATGGTGGATTTCAAAGAAAGTAAAAAAAAAAAACAATGTTAAAAATAAAATGGTTTGCATGATATTTTTTTAAATTCATGCTTTATACACCTGCTTTATATGACTGTTCTAAGATTGAACAAAATGAATTTTGAGAATATTTGTCTCTGGTTTCTTGTCACTTTTAAAAGTTTACAGTGATAAGGAAAAAAAATGTTACAGTGTAAAATTTCTATCTTGATTACTCTTCATGGTACATGTACTGTTTTGATCCCTTGCTTAAAAAAAAAAACTGGATTTAACCTGTCAATTATTTTAACAAATTAAGACAATTGATCTCTTTGAAATATTTAAAAAAAAAAACTTTACTACACATATTTTACTTACTGTATAAAATTGAAATTTTTTGTTCCTGGGTTTGTTATAAATGCCTGCAACAACATGAATGATTTGTTCAATGTTGCCAACAATAAACAAAAATTAGAAAACTTTTACTCTTGTTATTTTTACGTTACCTTTATATGCATTTCTCAAGACTTGTTAACAGAATTTTTTTAGGAGAAAAGATTAAAAATGCTATTAGAATTTGAATCCATGAATAACTGCACATTATACCCAGCCCCTGCATATAAAGTTGAGAGAAGGAAACAACTACATGTAATTTTCAACTCACCTCGACGAAGTTGAGATGAGCATATGCTATACCCTGGAGTTGGCATCCCAGGTTAAAGTTCATTTCCAAGTAACTAAAAGCCCTACCTGAACCAAACATGCATGGATGATGCATCTGGGGATGGACAAAGTAACTATAAGCCCTACCTGAACCAAACTTGCATGGATGATGCATCTAAAGATGGACAATGGAGACTTGCTTCGGATATTGGATCTGATCTACAGTTGTATATTTTCCAAACGAGTGAACAGGTTAAATCTTTGGAATAGGTCAATCCCCAATGTACATGTACTTTAAGACCTAGTTAATCAGAACACGACATATTGTGACATTGAACCCAAGAGCTTCCGGGGCTTCGCCCTCTGGGCCCCCCTCATTGAAAGTATGATATGATTAGTATTAATAATGTCATACTTTGCATCATAACTAACCAATATCACTATTATTGTGCCTGGTTTTACTCTTAAAATACACGAAAACTCGGGAGCATTCTCATGATTTAGCCCATCCATCTTTTTTCCAGATTTCATGCAATTGCATATACATGTATAACAGCTTGGAAAATCCATTCCTTTGTATTAATGCATTCCATATTTTTTTATTTATTCGTTCTGTATACTTCTGAAATTAAGTCAATATTGATAAATTTATTTAAAAAAATGTTTAATTTTACCAGGGATTTCAATTGTTCTAAAATACAAAAATTAAGACTTAAGTCTAAAATCTAAGATTTAAAAAATATGTAATTTTTCATTTTGGACCGTAATATGATCTAGGGTATATACTACTCCATATTCAATAAACATATATTGTCATATCTTAGATGTGCAGATTATAAGTAATTAATTCATTGGAACGATTTACATTCCGAGGGAACAAATTATTTAATCGGAGAAAATAAATGACAATCCGAGATAACGGTTTGTGTAATTTGAGGGAACGGATTGATATTCTGTGAGAACGAATTGGTAATTCGTTGTATCAGATTGTTAGTTCGAAAAAAAATTGTATGATTCGAAATTTCGTTTTACTTTTACACTTTTTGGAAATCCTCATGTCCCTTCACGGCGTTTACTACGATATTATCAAAATGTTTTACAAGAATGATGTACAGATATTTCCTTTCCTTTTTTTTATACTCTTTTTACAATTTTACGAACACTTAAATGCATTAAAAAAAGTAAAACAACAAAACTAACACTTTGAATAGTCATATCTGTCCAAGTATTTATAAGAACGCAGTTCGTCGGTTTCCAATGATCCTATCCAAAGGAAATGCGTTTTCTTGTCAATGCTTAGGCTGTGTGGATGACCTGTTAGTTGTTCTTTTCTAAGTAGAAAAGACAGGAAATTGCCATCCCTATCAATCATCTGTATTGTATTAGTATTGTTATCACATATTAGAATATGTGACAATGCATCTGTACAATTTTAACTCCCCTTGGTGAAAGTTGCAAATCTGACCTGTGACCTTAATTTGAAGGAAAATCGATTTTGTCCCAAATGGTTGACCACCACTACTGCACCTAGATCAATGTCGGACACAATAATGTCCCTATTGCAGTTCTCTGTGATGCAGAAAGGAGTCCTATAATCTACTTGACTATTTTTGTTGGTCATGCGAGGGATGGTCTGGACTCGTTGACCTTTGCTGTTATACCTGTTCACCTTTCCTGTCCATTTTGTGGTAGATTGGTTTGACATTGTTTGAATTCTCTTCATCCCGACAAGTAGTTCTCCTGTAGATGGGTTGCAGTAGATACAACGTGGCCTCCAAGGTTCTATTTTCTTGACTAGAGTTTTTGTTTTAAGTTCTACTGCAGAAAATGATTTAATGTTGAAATTCTTGTCCATGTAAATCAGTTCCCCAACACCGTTGACTGTATGCACGCCTCTATCATCTTTGTTCTTAATTGTGAAAAGATGCTGTGTTTGATTTGTAGTGTGTACCAAAAAGATCTTGTCTTCATCACTTACAGTGATCATTTCCGATGTCACACAGCAAATGTGATAAGCATTTGAAATATATTCTAATTTGATTGAATTTTTCAATACTGCTATGGGCATCAGTTTCAACAAAAACTGACTTCCAAATTGAATTGTTCCTAATTCTCTGATGGGAAACTCACACAAAGCCTGAATGTTCTCTTTTATGTTGCATTTCCTATCTAAGTAATAGTGATCGAATCGTACAAATTTGGGAATGTCTTTCATTATAGGGACTCCAGTTTTCTTTAGATATACTAGGAATTCTACCGGTCTGTATGCCGATTGTTCAAATTTCTTTTCGCAGTTATGCATGGAAGCAAGATATTTGCTTATTTCTTTCCTCTGTTGTTTTAACAATGAATTAATGCTGCTGACTCCTTTTTCGCATTTTTGGATAATTGTATTCTCCAGTAAAACTTGTACTCTACGACCAATAGTTTTATGCTTTAAAAGTTCTGAGCTGCAACGATTACTAGCAGTTTTGAGGTGAGACAAAACTATACTGCTTTTGTAAAGAGAATTGCTTCTGACGTTGTTTATAAAATCCTTGTGCTTTTGCCGACGTTCATTTCCTACTACTCGGAGATTCATAATTTCATGTTTTTCATGCTTTCTACACCTTTTGCTAGTGGGGAATGCACATTGATGGCAAAACCTTTTATATATCTTTTTTGAAGGTCGCTTCTTAAATTTTGGAGAATTTTCATGCTTCTCAATATAAATGACCACGTCGTGATATGTTGTATCTAGGTCTATACAATGTTTTTCTTTACAATGTTTACACATTTCATTCTTGCAGGTTTTGCAGTAGAATACCGTCTCCCGTTGACAACCATAGCAATTCCGTATCTTATACTCTGTGCTTATTAATGATCCCATATGAAGTGAATCTTATGACTCTTTCAACTGTTAAAAAATAAAAAAAATATATGAATAATAATCTACACATTTTTATTTAATTTATATACATACTTTTAAATCATGCATTGCCAGACCAACTGTGTAAACGAAAAAATATCCGATTCAGAAAAATGAAGAATTTTTTTTTTTAGATTGAGAATTGTATTCTAACTGCATGATCACTGTGTTGAGACAATGAACATTTATTTGTGTTACGCTAATAATGAGGACATGGAAACAAAAACTGAACATGATATCAAGCGGGGTCACAATGGACGATCAAAGTTTTACAAAGTAATTTAAAGGAAAAAATCTTTATAAATTTTTATATTACATATAATTGACATTAATATAATTTTTTCCTCAACAGAAACGTTTCTTTTCATTAATTTTGGGATTTAGCCGACCTCCAACCTTTGAAACTTTCCTTTGTGTACACATTCGAGTGTGTGAAAGTATGAGAATACATGAAAATTCGTGCGAGATTCACTTAATTCGAATTTCATGGTAACGTACATTTCAGTCACGTACATTTCAAATGATCACTTTTCATGTAAAAAATAATTTTTAATTGTGTTAAGCAAAACGTCTTTGCCATTTTACAGGATACAAGGGGTTGCTTATTCAGAGTCGTCTCATATTTTCTACTTAATATATATTCTTAATGGACCCAGAATATAGGTAACGTACATTTTTTCTTATCTCTACGATTGAAAATGTCTTTCATTCCGTAAACATATTTATAAAAGTTGCTCAAATTGTTCAATTTCATGTTACATTATCTAATAAGTAGTAATTAATCCTTTGAAATTTCAAATTTAGCCCATCAATAAATAAAGGAGAACAAAACTATCAGGTGTATAATCTTTGTGTTTGCTTGTAATGTGGTTGAAATAGAATTAAGCGACAGGGACATTGCACAATAAAAATAATTTATTATCACAAAGAAAATGTATTTATTGTTATGAAAAGAAATATATATGATACAAGGTTTAACTAATCAGATAATTTTTACTTGAGAATCAAAACTATATATTACACAGAGGGGATTCAGAATAATATTTGCCTCGGCGACAATTTGTGTACATTTCAAATAGGCTACTATATTTGAATTTGGAACTCCTTAAATACCCTTTCAGATCGATAATTATATGAATTCTCTCTTCATTGTTATATGACTATTTATACTGTTGATTTAAAAATTACATCAGTGGTATTTCTTTTAAATGAAAATGAGGCGACATTATTTGAGCCCTTATATTGAGAATGGGTGTATAGGCACTACATCATCATAAAGCGTTTATTTTATTATATGCTATGGGTATTTCATTGTGGCATTTTTTTCCTGTGATAGATGTTTTTTTCATTTTAATGAGAGATTTTTGCATTATATGAATGGGTATTGAAGTATAATGAAGATTTTAAGTCACCTCAGTCCCGCAGGTGACCCATTATTTGCTATTCATTTTTGTCCATCGCCATGCAAGCATTGTTCGTCGTTCGTTAACAATTTCAACTTCTCTAAAAGCGTTCAACCAATATCAACCAATTTTATCATATAACATCTACGGGTGAGGGGGAACACAATTAGAATTTCATGGTCTCTGTCCCCTTGGGACTGAGAGGTGGGGCAAAAACCCACGAGAATTAATGCATTATTCAAACTCTTCTTTACTTCTTGACTTCATGCATTCAAAATATTGGCATGATTGGAAAAAGCATTGAGCTCTCTAATAAAATTGTGAAATCATAGCCTAAGGGGCAGGGGTTCTGGTGCTAGGTTGAGGCTATGTTGAATATAAAGTGAAATGCATTTCTTCTTTTAAAAAATCCTATGGGTTTGCATTCCGATTATATAGTGGAAATGCATCTTTTCTTTGTTTTTCTGTTCCGCCTCTGCGTATTACGTAACCAAAGTAAGCATGCTAAATGTGTAGTTAAGATAAGCAAGTGCCTCTTTCAAAATTGAGTAATTTTTGGCCTCTGGTTTAAAACAAGAACTAAATTCAATTGTTAAAAAGTTGTTACATGATACATAGGTGACTTCCAAGGCCCGTTGACCTCTTTTTAAAATATAAAAAAAACTAATACTAGTATATGTACCATAAGGAATAAAAATGTACAAAAAGAAACACAACCACAAGCACACAAACGAACAGGGAAAATACAAATTAACGATTTTTAGGGGTTTAGGGTGAAGATCTAGCCGAGTTCCATCATATGCATAATCTTGAAGTGAAACCCTGTTTCCTTTAAGGCATTTTTCATTTGCTATAGATATTAACCTTTGAGGCCCCTCTCAAAAAAGGAGAGTTACGACACTCCACACCCCGTTTCCGGCAGGAATCACCACTGAACGAAATAAGAGTCATTGATTTCGTTAATTACCTTTGACGAACAAGTAAGTTGAAGGTCCTAGAATAAAATAATAAAAAAGGTCTCGGTATTCAATATGAACGTAGTGGATACAAAGTATGCATAAAAACGAACATGCATCAGGTCTCACACATTTAGCATTTCGCGAATACCGTGTACTGAAATTACAAATGTTTGAAACACTTAAAAAATGGATTGTAGTAAGTAAGTCTCTTGAAATTATAAACAAACGTGATCTGCAACTTAATTGTACATTGTGTAAGCATGTTTACTTAGTATTCTAAATAAACATGTAGATATATATTTTTTATATTATAAATGAATATTACATAAAATACATAGCGATTGTACGCGAAACATTTACTAAAAATAAATTACTTGTCCTTGCAGATTTAAGGGTCATTCAAAAAATCCGAATCCTTTTTCTCAAAGTGTTAAATGTTCTGTTCACATTGACCATTTGAAAAATATCTAAAATCGATATCAACATGTATTTCTAAAGAATAAAAATAAATGGAAATAATAAAATTCTAATAATGGATTTTCTCGTCTGTCTAACATTTATTTTCTGGTTTCATTTACTCAAAATGCATCAAACGTATTTTTGAATCAATCCTTTCCTGTATTTAATTAGGAATAAATTCTTTTTCCAGAGGTTTGTATTGAACCATTCATTTGATACCGACGTAATGTATACAATGCACATTCATTGTAGACGGGAACAATTTTGCAGCCAGATATATAAAAAATGAAATAAGAGACATGAATGGCAGCCTTAGTAAATAGAATATACATGTATATAGGGCCAGGGTTATACTGGAAAACAAAAACACTTTACCTTCATTTAAATTAATCCTCAAAAATTAGTACACGCACGAATCTTAAAATATTTCCAACAACGGACAGAAAACTTTAAATTCGGTCGTCTAACAAAGTATTGATCTACCTTGTATACTAGTAAATAAAAACTCTCATGTTTATTTGGCAAGCTGTCCAGGTATAAGAACCAGGTAATATCCTTATCACCTTGAGGTCGGTACGCACGGTTAGATTTGTATTATAATTCATAATCTTCCTGAGTGTGTTTACACTCCTAACTGTGTGTAATAAGATTTTTCATCAAATCTTATAAAACTGTTTCAAGAATAGAGCGCAATATAAATACTCTTTTTCATATAGTCTTAACGCATCACGCTAAACATGCTAAATATAAACATTATTTTTTACCAGGCGCATATTCTAATTTTTATTTAAAAAAAAAAGTAATTGTAGTGAAGTGATATTATATTTTAAAAAGAATATTTCCTTCTGTTTTTATGAAAAAAAAATGAAAATAATGCAATCGCATTACAATTTATCATTATCTTCACGATTATTGAATCAGAATGAACTTTGTCATCTGTTCTTCAAAATTTTCTTTCTTTTGGTCATGTTTTTAAATTGTTATAGTAATTCTGGATCCAACTAGTTTATCTGATAAAATTTGTAAAATATGCTATTCAAATGTTAGCAAGCAAGACTTACAGTAAAGTAAACCCAGGTAATAATTAATTTCAAGAATTTTTACTGTTTCTTTACTTTATTGGTTATAAAATGTAAAAGTGAAAATAAGGAACATTGATCGGCCTCACGATATCTATAAACAATACAAATATTTTAAGAGGGCATAAAACAATCACCCCTCTAAATAACATTCCTTTGCCAAAAGTATAGCAAAATGAATTTATTTATGAAAAAAAATAAAAAGTTTGAAACAATAATTTATTTCAAATTTCAATAAGATTTATTACAATATGAAATTTTTACTTTCCCTTACTTCATGTATTCGTATAAATCAATAGCAAATGTAAATATAAGTAATATATAATGTATCATTATGCCCCCGTAATCGAAGATACAGGGGTATATACTTTAGTTTATAAATTACTTTTATACTGCTACAAAATGACATTATTAATTTTACTTTCGTTTATAAATAGATTTAACCATTTCCCAGTACCCTTTATCACTAAAGAAATAAACAAACGGATCAATAACAGCATTAACGGCCACGATATCCGTAGCATACGTGTAAAAGGCATCCTCTTTAACAGATATAATTCTGAAAACAGAGTCGGATCTCTTAAAAACCATAAAAATGTAAAGGCTTAAAAACAGAATATAACTTAACATAATTGTGATAGAAATCACGAAAATCGTGAGAGTAAATCTAAAATTTCTAGATTCTGACTCTTCATCACCGCTGATCCCATCGTTCTTTTCATCCGCGTGACCACTTTCAACCGAAAGTGTCGAAAGCGTCCTTTTTCCTTCTAGAGAAGTGGAGTTAGTCTTCTCTTCAGCCTTTTCTTCTGTTTTTTGTCTGTTATCTTTGACTCCTTGACTTGTACTAACATCAGTCGAATCCTTTATTTCTTTCTCTTGTGTGCCTTGTTTGTCATTGCCTGACTTTTGATCCCTTTCCGAAGAACTCTCGCCATTATCAATAATAGTATTTAGCACTATAGAAGTTTCAGTTTGTTCCCTTTGACATGAGTCCTTTTGCTTTCCTTCAACTGTTATTGCTATCTTTAGGCGACGTAAAATTTTGGCGATTCTTGAATAGCAAACTCCGATAATTATACATTCCACAATAGATAACACAAATAAAGATATGAAATAAACCTTTGGAAGACTTGCGAAGAATTGCTCCTCTGCAATCCAACATCTATTTATTTGAAAACCCTCAACTTGGAAAGATTGAAAACCGACAATTAAAGGTACAGGGATGCTTAGAAGTGCCGAAATAACACAACATCCAACTAACTTTATTATAATGTTTGGAACAGTTGTCTGTGTGGTTCCTTGGTTGTAAAGACGCTGGTGCCTATATATAGCCAAGACTAACACAAATAATGAAGAAGAAAGCCCGGCAGCAAATCCAAAGTAGTTACTAATTTTACAAACTATTTCAAAGTTATTTTTCATGACATATCTCATTCTTTCATATTCTTTTGCAATAAACAGCACCAATGTGACCAAATCGAACAGCGCCAAAACAAATATGATTAATTCGGAGGGAGTTTTCTTTCGGGCCATTTTCCGGAAAATATGGATCACGTGACTGTTGCCTATGATGCCGATCACGAAACAGATTAGTACAAGAACACCATAAGGAAGTCTGGCGAATCGCTCTCTTTCGACTAAGTCTACGTATGCTTGGTTTAGGGCAATGTTAGAGACATTCATACTTCACTCAATCTGCAAATATAAAGAAATGGTTTATGTTACATATGTATGTTAAAGGTCTGTAAAAACACTATTCATAGGGGCTATCGGGTTACAAAGTTTACGATTCATTGCGATCGTAGAGAGCAGGGTTTTTGTAGTGTACATAAGAATAAACGAGACATTTATTATTATATGTAAATGAGTATGTAAATGTATCCGCTAAAAATGGTTTTCATGGGGTGTCAATTTCAATGCAAGATTTACATATTATCAAATTTATATTTGTTTACTATTTCTTGAATAACAAGTCACAGTATAACCGTCTCTAGTTTTAAAAAAAATATCATACATAATTGCAGTTGTCTAAATAATTAAAATTAACAAAATTATTTGTTTTCTTTGATGAGTACCTATAATTTCTAATCATAACTAAATTCTAGATTTTTTTTGTGAAACACAAATGCACAGGTATTGCAGCTGATGGCGAAGTTTATAGTTTTTCATTTGCAAGTTTAAAGTCAAGAGATCAAAATTGATGGTATCCAAAGAAAATTTTCACAAACAAATAATCCTGTGAAATATGGAAGCTCTAGCCTAAACTGTTCAAAAGTTACGGCCAACGTTTCAGTTTTTCAAATGAAGAACAATTTCTGAGAGAAACTAGAGGTACTGTGAGCAATGAGCTCACAAAATGATACCCCCACCTCCCATATAATTATAATGGGAGTGTCCATATTTTGTTGTGGGAATATGTATCAGATCAAAAAGTAAAATAAGAGGTGCACAATGACAATATATATGTAGCGCCGTCGAGCGGTAAACGGCTAAATTAATCCATTATTCAAGAAAAATAATATTCCTCTGTCTTAAAATCTCCTCCTTGTTTGAAATAAAACGATTAGTAAGTTTTATACACAATTTATTTACAGGAACAGGTACCCGTAAAACACATCACAATATTAATATTTACACATAATCCACTATCTTCTGAACGGTCTATGTATATGTAACTCCCAAGTAAAACAGTGACTATACTAATAAATCCCCAAGAAAACTGTGGCTGTACTAATAAATTCCCAACGAAACAGTGACTATCCTGACCCAAAATTCCCCCCATATATATACCCTCTGGCCGAAGCTCATAAGGAGCATCGCGTTCAAAACAAAAGAGTTGCGTAATGGTCAAACTAACCGATCCTCGCGAGGAGCATCGAGTAGCCATGTCTAAAAATAGTTATATAAACAATGAGTGACCGTTGAATAATTATGAAAACAAAACAGTTTTTTCTAATTAAACTAAATTACTGCATATAATAAAGATTCTGTGAAAGTTTCATCAAATTTCATTCAGTGATATGAGAGGAGTTGCGAATAAGAGAAGGGTACCCTAAAGCGTAACAGACAGACGGATGGACGGATGGACGTACATAACGGTTACTATATATACCCTCCCGATTTTCAAGCAGGGGTATGATTAAGTCCTAGCTCTAACAAAAAATATGGGCATTGTGATTTTTTTCGGACAAACAGCTTGACAGTACAGCTAAACAGAGAGATAGACGGACAGGCCAAAAAACTAAATAGCCTTAATGTTCAATTACGAAGGCATTCAAATGAAAACTAAAGGTACAGCGAGCTCTGAGCTCACCAAATGATACCTGGCCTCCCATATAATTATAACGTCAATGTTTTGCTCTGGGAGACCAAAAATAAGTGTCAGATAAAAAAGTAAAATAGAAGTTGCACAATGGAATTATATAATGAAGAGTCCCTGAAAGTATCATTAAATTTTATTCAGTGATATAAGAGGAGTTGCGGATAAGAAATGGGTACCCTTCAATATTATAAAAACTAGAGGTACTGTGAGCAATGAGCTCGCTAACTGATACCCCCTGGAGGAATAACTCGTCCTATTAAATGTTATCCAGAAGCTTCTATATGTGACGTCATAGGTAAACATATAATGGCAATGTCCATGTTTTGCTATGGGAAACATAAAATACGTTAAAGTTAAAAGGAGGTGCACAATGGCAATGTGTAATAAAGATTCTGTGAAAGTTTCATTACATTTCACTCAGTAGTATAAGAGTAGTTGCGGATAAGAGATAAAGCGTAACAGACGGACGGTCGGACAAACAGACGGACGGACGGACAGACGGAAATCGCGATTACAATATACCCTCCCACTTTTCAAGCGGGGGTATAATAATGACAGTGTTTTTGTTTTGCTACAAGAGACCCGAAATATATGTCATATCAAAGGGTAAAAGAGGAGGTCACAATGGCACTATGTAACATATTTATACCCCCTGCTTGGAAAGCGGGAGGGTAATATAGTAATCGGTATGTCCGTTTGTCTACACGTGTGTCTTTCTGTACGTCCGTCCGTCTGTCTGTTACGCTTTGGGATACCCATCTCTTATCCGCAACTCCTCCCATACCACTGAATGAAATTTGTTGAAACTTTCACAGAATCTTTATTACATATTGCCATTGTGCACCTCTTATTTTACTTTTTGATCTGACACAAATTTTGGGTTTCCCACAACAAAACATGGACACTCCCATTATATTCATGTGGGAGGCGAGGGTATCATTTTGTGAGCTCATTGCTCACAGTACCTCTAGTTTCTTGAACGTATTATTAAATTTCACTCACTGGTATAAGAGGAGTTGCAGATAAGAGATGGGTACCGCAAAGCGTAACATACAGGCGGACATCCCGATCACTGTATACACTCCCACTTTTCAAGCGGGGGTATAATTTTAAACTTTTTATACTTTTATATAATCTTTTGTTATACCAAAGGCACATTCTTTTGGGTTGAGCATTAATTAACACATGTCTAGATCTAAAATACATAAAGATATATCAACCTATAAAATTATAATTGTGTTACCGAGAAAAGGAATTGAATCAATTGACATGTTTTTCAATAATTTGCAATTAGCAAAGCAAGTGAAATTAATCAATGTCTGCCCATTAATTAAACTACTATATCGAAATATTATCCATTATTTTAATTTCTAAAAGTTAGAAATAGGAAATTTCCTATTTCTGTCTAAAAGACTTTTCACAATATCCCTATAATAGTTCGAATGGCGCTAAACAATGTCTTACCTGAGGTATGCAGGGGAAGAAAATAATTATCGATGGACGTCTGATCAAAATGCCATTCCTCTATAGAAATGCAACATAACAAGCTTAAGGGTGTTGACCTTACGCATGTTGAACTTCACAACAAAACGCTATTTAATTACATTCAAAATACGTTGAACTCACTTCATATAGACTAATGTAAGATTTACTCCGGGTATTTAAAAAGCTAACAGGTGTTCGATATGATGTAAAGGCTTTGTTAGAAGAAGACTAAACTAAAATGAAAAAAGAATATTCTCACAAATTGTGCGACTAGAGTATATTTAGAGTTTTGCAGACAATATCTTCCTTTAACAAGATAAAAAAATCATATTCTAAACTGCCATTTCCAAATAAAAATTAAGAAATCCAGTCAAGAATATAGGAGTCTAATTTGAAAAAAATGCTGCCACGTAAACGTCATTAATTAAAAAAAATATATATATATTTTTAAATATATATATATATATATATATATATATATATATATATATATATATATATATATATATATATATATATATATATATATATATATATATATATATATATATATTTTTAAATATTGGCTGAGATTACGAGTTGTGAGTAAAATATATCGTATATTCTGGAAAAGTATCTTTAGTAGTTATATGTGAATGTCTTGATTTATTCATGGTTTTGCAAACATTATACTTATGAAACATAAATGAAAACAAGTACATGTACATGTATCCTTGTTTAAATAACTGCATGACACACAGATCACTATTTAACTTATAGCGTGATATGTATTGCTTCCTTCAATAGTTCCACACGGCAAATGAAAGTCAAGGCTTTATGACAAAAATGACAGCTTCTTTTTCAATAAAGATGCGAACTCGTAAAGGATGAATGAACTTAACGCTTTGGCTGGGGTCTTTTTCGGTCGTTTCTGCTGCTTTTCAATCTTAACCTATAATTTCACTTTTGTATATTTACTACAGAAGTCTGACAGATACAAATATTCAGTATAAAACAAAGGCCTTAAAAGATATATGACAAATAAGTCAAAATACGATCAAAAGATACATGTAGCTAGGCTCTTCTCTAATTAATAAAAAGGACGTTAAAATGCCCATAGAATTTGGGAAATGCCGACTTCAAATGAGATTGTTAAAATCCATGAAACATCAAATTACCTCTCAGTAGCCCGTTTTGCTTTAAAAAAAATATAATACTCGGATCTTGTTCTATTAGAAGCTAATAAACGTGGAGATGTATGCACCATGTACGGTTGATAGAGGGATCATATAACTTCATAAATAAGGAAAGCTGACGATTGAAAAGTGAAATCATCTTGTTTTCATTTTTTATTTGTTGGCCATTAGTGCCTATCATTAGTTATCATTTGGCCTTTATCGTCTTTAGTCAGTAAAACATCCAAATATGAAACAGTTGTGGTACACTCTGTGGTGTCTTATTCTCAAGTTCACCGGGATATTTTACTAGAAAAATACGTTAGTGATAATTTAACCACAAAGCTTAATGATAAACGGGATGACTTTATTTTTGCAATCGTCCAATTGCCTTACCTTTGCAACAATTTACCTTTAACAGCTGCATACGTGGTTTATATCTCACAGTTTGATACGCAAGTGCATGTTCTACGTAAAGGTTACATGCCGACGTATACGTATTAGGGCCGTTACAGTTCTAAGAACAGTTTGAGGCTTGTATTTAAAACATTTCATTCCATTGTGTTCAGAATGGACTCTCTTAGCAAAGTTTCTCTCTTGCAACGTCAATGAAGTAAACATCCTTTGTATTAAATTTGGCATTGTCTTCTTAGTAGACTGTCTCAGGTAAATTTGTTGATTTAAATACTGTGAATAGGATTCACTTCAATTGTTAACTTAATGGACAGTTACAGGTGAGTTCCTTGGTTTTGTATAAAAAGCATGCACATCCACCACTTCTTAAAATGTCCCTGCGGTTAGGATGTCCTCTTCAGATTGTTTTTAACACAAAACAAGTTTAGAGAAGTTGATTGGCATTCTCAGTGATATTTTGGATTTTCCAAAAAAACAACCGAATTTTGACCTCAAAGTAGATATTTTTTCGTATTTCCATTTTTACACACATAGAAGGAAAAGAAAATATTGAAAGGTTTGCACGGCTCAATCAAGAAGATTTGGATAATTTGGTTAAGAAAGGTTTATCCCAAAAGTCAAAGTGGGCAATGACTCTATTTACGAACTGGCAAAATGAACGAAAGCGTATGTTACCAAACCATGATACATTTATGTACCAGGATATTATGATAACGAGTGATGAGGAAATCAACAAAACAATGAGTTTCTTTGTAGCTGAAGTGAGGAATAAATCTGGAGAGGATTACAGACCCAATAGCTTGTATAAATTGTGTGTGCAATTCAACACAAATTACGACATGAAGGTAGATTCATAAACTTTTTGGATGATGATAAATTTCACGATATGCGCAGTATTCTTGATTCAAAGATGAAAGAACTCTCTGCTTTAAAATTTGTAATGTGTTAATGAAATGTGGTCCAAGGGAGTTTTAGGAAGAGATACACCTCAAAAACTCTTAGATACTCTACTGTTTCAACTAGGACTACATTTTGCACTACGAGCAGGACAGGAACACACAAACTTGAGGGTTGGGACAAACAGTCAGATTTCTCTTTCCATGGATGCATCTGGACTGCGATATCTCGAATATAGAGAGGATGTCTCCAAAACAAATCGCGGTGGGCTCCAGCACAAAAATCTGCAACCTAAAGTTACCAGAGCATACTAGAACAAGAATTTAAGATGTCCTGTGCTCACGTATGAAAAATATCTGCATTTAAGGCAAGTATATTGTTGTTAATTTCCACCAAAATATTGCTGTAACATATATCTAATTTAAAACACTTTATCTATAATATGCAATTTTCTTTTAAAGGCCTGAATGGTAAAACCAATGCTCTCTATTCGACCTCTGCGGTACCCCACAGATTCCACTTGGTACGCCGACTGTTGGAGTACACACTCTTCAACAGAAAAACTGTGTAAAATAGCAGGATTTATACACAAACCATAGCCTCAGAGCAACCACCGCAACACGCCTTTACGATGCTGGCATTGATGAGCAGCTAATAACCAGAAAACTGGACACCGAAGTCATGTATAAAAGAACAAATGAAGAACAACAGCAAAGAGTGAGCAAAATCATTCACGGTGAAAATCAGTGTGATGTAGCTATCAAGAAAGCCAAAACCGCAGCCGAAAGTGATTCTAATGTGTGTGCACCAGCTGGTGCTAATGAAATTGAAATTTCGTCTGGAAGTGTATTTTTCAAATTTAAATTCTAAAGTTGGAATAATTATTACAATGTGTGTAATTCGTTGTTCATGAATAACATGTATATCTTTTGTGTTGGATTTGTTGTTATTTTTTCTTAGTGCTTACCTGTAACTGTTTAATAAGTTGTAAAAAAGTGTCCACTATTTTCCGCGAAGCGGATTATAAAAAAGCGTAAACTGACCCAAACCAGATTATACTCGATAATTTGGTCAGAAAAATTCCTTATAATTTAATTCTAAAATAATCAAACAACTTTTGATGTAAAATTGTGTTGCTTTTTTACCGCGCAATAATACAACCTTAGTAACGGAAGTGAAGTGAAGCGAGGGGAGGTAATAACTGATACATAGATCTAGCAGCCATGATGTGTGTTTACATGAGGTAAGATCGAGTAAGTGTTTGAAGTTAAAGATACAGTTATTAAATCTTGAAATTTCCGTGGATTGCGAGGAGTGGAAATGAGGGGATTGCATGGATAAGTGATTAAGCTGGTCGTCAAGGGGGTGTGTCCCCATACCAAACCAGATTATACAAAATGTTTTGCGTTCCTTTTTGGAAATCAACCAATGAGAGGCGAGAATATAAACAAAATTAAATTGTTAGAAGATAAACAATGTTTTGAAGTTGGATATAAAATTTATTTCACTTGTGAACAGGATTTATTGATATTTTCACTAAGGCGTAGCACCACAAATTGAGAGTTTTGTAGCATATATGATATTTTTCACTCTGTGACAGGATATTATTTGATTACCTTTTACCTTGAGACAGAATTTAACTATTATTCTATAGATGAATGTCCGTCGCTGTTGAAAATGCAATAAATTGAATTGATTCTTGGCGTCTTTTTACACACAATCTTCTTTAATACTTTGCATAGCATGAAAAAGGGCAAAATGATAAATTAATTCATCTTCGCTAGCCAAGGCAAAATGATATCAGATTAATTAAAAAATGGCTAGCGAGTTTAATTAAAAAATGTAAGTTACATAACAAAGCATTTTTATTGATACAGTAGGAAAATCATTGTTTGAAAGGTTAAAGACATATACATGTAAATTACTACAAATCAAAAATCACAAAATTATGCCTTATCTAAGAAAAGATAAAGCTGAAATCTTGACCTGCATATTCCAGTTCAATATTTAAAACATTGTACTAGGTTTCAGATGTTTAAAACTTTTTTACTCTAAATGAACCATCGTAAATTCTTTGTTTCCTTTTATAGATAGATTCAATCATAATTCGATATTTCCGGTCACTGAAGAAATAAACAAAAGGATTGATAACGGCATTGAGACATATTCCAGAAATTATTCTAAAATTTGGATCCGCCCTCTTATAGATCACATACATGTAAAAAAATAATAGTAATCGTGACAAGGAGAATCGTTATAGTGAATGAGATAGCTTTAGAAACATCCTCTCCGCTATCTTCAACGTCTTTGGCAATAGCCTTAGATCCATATTCCAGTTCAATATTTAAAAAAAAGGACATCTAAGATTTGACTTGACCCCCCCCCCCCCCAACAAAAAAAAGCAAAAAAATGATTTAGATACATGTATATTCATAACATAAACATAAATAAAATATATTCGATTGTAAAAGCAACATTGTACTAGGTTTCAGATGTTTAAAACTTTTTTACTCTAAATGAACCATCGTAAATTCTTTGTTTCCTTTTATAGATAGATTTAATCATAATTCGATATTTCCGGTCACTGAAGAAATAAACAAAAGGATTGATAACGGCATTGAGACATACGATGTCCGTAGCATAGGTATTAAAAGCGTCCTCTCTAACAGAAATTATTCTAAAATTTGGATCCGCCCTCTTATAGATCACATACATGTAAAGACTCAGAAACAGTATGTAACTAATCATAATAGTAATCGTGACAAGGAGAATCGTTATAGTGAATGAGATAGCTTTAGAAACATCCTCTCCGCTATCTTCAACGTCTTTGGCAATAGCCTTAGATACATCATCCCCGCTATTAGCTACGTCTTTTGCAATGGCATTTGAAACATCTTCAGTGTCTTTGGCAATAGTTTTAGAAACATCCTCACCGCCATCTTTAACGTCTATGGCGTTTGACCCCTTGGTGCCAGTTGTAGATGGTGATTTTGCAGTTCCATCTTCTTGTTTATTTTTCTTACTAGTTGAATCAGAGGTGACATCATCTACATTTTGCTTACCGTTTTCGCCTTTTGATATTTTTTCCTCGGTGACGTTTTTCATTACATCATGTTCAGTTATGTCTGTTTTGGCCAAGTTACATGTGGTCATTTCTGACGCACCCACTTTATTTTTGATTGTAAGTTTCGACTGATGTAAAACCTTGGCAATCCGTATATTACAAACACATATGATACAACAGTTTATACATGATAATGCAAGTAAGAATATATTATAACCCTCGGGAAGTGACGCAATCACCTGGTCCTCAGCTATCCAGCATCTGTTTACTTGAAAATCTTCCACGTAGAACTTCTGAAAACCAACAACGAAAGGAACAGGAATGCTAAGAATCGCTGAGATAATAAAACAGGCAATCAGCTTTATAATAATCCGTGTAACTGTCGTCTGCGCGCTTCTTGGGTTGTACAGTCGCTGATGCCTATACACGGATAAGACTAGAACATACAATGAGGACGCAAGACCGGTAGTGAAGCCGACATAATTAGTGATTTTACATATAATCTCAAATCTATTGTACAAAACAAATCTCAGTCTTTCATATTCTTTCGCTACAAACAAAACCAAGGTTATCAAATCAAAGAGAGCCAAATTAAAGATGACGGCTTCTGAGGGTGTCATCTTTCTCGGCATTCGCCGGAAGATGTGGATCACGTGACTGTTACCTAGGATACCAATCAAACAACAGAGCAGTACAATCACTCCGTATGGAAGTCTTGCCAATCGCTCTCTTTGAATGAGGTCCATGAAATGGTGGTCGGTGCTGACGTTTGAGGTATTCATACTTCTTACTGCAGTAAAATAATGACCATAATTAAATTAACTGATTAGTAATACAAGCATTAAAGAATAATATGCCATAATGAAAAACAAATCCCGAAACAGAGAAAGTGCTGAAAATATTTGTCATGGTTTAAAGAGGTAAGAATTACGTATAATTTGCATCAGCATAAAATTTAACATTCTGATTAAAATCTAACCTTCACTAGCTCCTTTTTATTTTGTTTGTCATGTGACAAACAAAATAAAAAGGAGCTAGTGAAGGTTTGATTTTAATCAGACTGAAAATCTAAATGATTTACAGTGAGAATTTTTTTTAATTAAATAGGGGAAATGGTTGGGGTTTGCAAAAGAAATGCTTTCAATATGAATTAATATTCCCTGCCTGAGTATGGAATAGCTTGCCCGTTTATCCGTGTCTTATGAAAGCTAGCCTTTCTAACAAAGGCTTTGAAAAATATCAATTTGATATAGGTGTCTAAATGTTTTCACAACAATTCAATATATATGCTTTTGGGTAGTACAAAACACCAATGGAATCAGCTTTAATTGATTTCTTATAATGTACACCATTATAAAAAATCATTTATAGTATATTGTAATTAATCAAGGGGAGAAAAGGGTGTGGCATGTTTTGCCATATTTTTGAAAAAAAAATTAGAGACATTCTATACATTGGTTTTTCGGTAGCCTGCTCGTACATTAGGGATCGTGCTCATGCCATCTACATTCCATATATCTGTCTGTTAGTAATATCAAAGTGACTTTTGATCCATTGATTATAGAGATCTAATATTTGCAAATAATTATCAAGAATTTCAATTCTTTTTAAACAATTCAGGTCAAGGTAAAATTAAGAAGTCAGAAGTAAAATATATTGAACTTATACCCAGAAAACTGAATCTTGCATTAAATTCGTTTTAATTCACCAACATATCTAATACTGTTGGTTTATTTATTCTCATCTTGACACAATTCAATACGGATTTCATTTTCATTATTCTGTTGATTTTTTTATAAAAAAATAAATGATATACCGATATTCTTTTAATAGAACTTAGAGTGAAACAATTTAAATATAAATTGATATTCTGACCTCGGATATACTATGTTCTTTCTTTATCACTTATTATTCCATTATACCTGTTTCATTTTAAATTTTACTAAATTTTAGAAACAAAAAAGGTAAACAGCATCAAAAAAGTATGCAACAGATCAGACATTTGATAAAAAAAAATAGATCAATTGGTAATTTTCAAATAAATGAAACGTATATTGCCAGGTTGACTGTTTGATTTCACAATGTTCTCTAAGGGGCCTATTCTTTTTTTCTCTAATTACTTTTTTGTCTTAGTAATATACTAGCATATTTAGATTTCATTGAAACTTTAGTGTTTAACAAAATATTTACCAGTCGATTACATTGTGATTTAGTATCTTCTTTCTCCAATAAATATTAAATTTATTAAAGAGGCTAGGTGGTCAGCTAATTATTTTTTTTATTAACCACCATATATAACTTAAATTTTGGGATATGATATCTTAAGCTGTCAACTATCATTTGGCAAAGAAAAAAAATCATAAATTTTAGCTTTAAAATTTGACCATTTTATTATATCTTTAAATGGAGCTCTTCTTCTAATGGAGATCAAAATAGCCTAAAAATGGCCACGACCACCCAGCTCCTTTAATGAAGAACGTGTTCGAATAATTAACAGAAAAAAATCAAGAATTACAATGGAGTAGATATTCTTACCTTCTTTCAATGATTTTTCTTTGAGGGAATGACCAAACAAGAGACAGAAAAGCGGTATATAAATATATATATATATTAAATTCTAAGATTCTCAATTTTTCAATGTATTTTACAGCAATATATATACAAATGCAGTGAAATGAATAGCACGAATAAGATGAAATATCACGTTATGAAAAGATAATAAGTTCCTAGAATAGCCTGTGTATTCAAAGAGGCGGGGGTCAAAATTCTTTACCCAACTGAGAATTATGGTAACTAATCATGAAGGAAAATAATGTATTTTTCTTTATGAGATTTTTCCTGTATAGAGTATGATATTATTAAGATAGATAAATGAAAATAAATGAGGGAGGGATCATGATGGAAACCATTTAGCGTTTTTCTATATAATTACCAAAAAACAAACAAAGGAATCGATTACGAGAGAGAGAGAGAGAGAGAGAGAGAGAGAGAGAGAGAGAGAGGTGAGTACATGTACATGCTAATTTTTTGTGCTCCCCAAAATTTGAATCCTACGTATGCATGTATTGCTAAAGATTATGTAGATCATGATCAATGACTGAAGTTCGTCGAAAGAGAAATGTGCTTATTACGATTTCAAGCAGAACCAATACCCGTGAAGAATTCAACAGATTCTTGGAAGATTTGGTCCCCAAAGATTAAATCTGAAATAAGACTGTCAGAATGTGGGCGTTCTTTTAAATTTAATCTCAGATTAAATATTCCCCATATGTGTATGCTTGATACATAAGTTTTAAATCCATGTTATAATTATATATAATAAAAGTCAAAATTTCTTTTCTTTTGAGAAAAGGCTTTAATTTGCTATTGTATTTTTCCTTGGTGAATCCTTATGCAATCACGAATCTTGATCAGTAAATCTTGGTTTGAACATTTTATTAATCTAACAATATGTATAATGATATTCATTAATTTAATTCAGTTTACTTGAATAAATAAATGTTTGTTAGAATTTTGAGCATGCACAATAAAGTAAATATCTGCATCTAAGTATTTAGATAGATTTATATTCTTCACAATCGGTAATCGCGTCCTGAAATAGCATCTCCTTGATCATTTACATAATCATTTACATCTGTATGTAACAAGTTTAGAAGAAAAGAGGAACTATAAAATATTTTGAAATCGATAATGAATTATTAATTATCACATATTCATATAAAGATTTGTTTCATTATAAAACATTCTTGAATTCCTTATAAGGAAGTCATATTTTTAAAGATATAGTTAATTTGCTATAACTTGTTCAGAAAATTTGACATTACCGAATGAAACACATATTTTTCCATAATACAGGATACATTTTTAATAAACCACTTTCTTGTCAATTGTCATTTTGTTTCTTGAACTTGACGTCCTTTCCGGTATATAGTCGTATTGGCTGTCGTCAGGAGACGTTTGAACTATTGACCCCTCTTCCGTGCCTTCGTGCATTTCCGGAAGTTCATCATACACGTTTCCGTGATTAATGTGTGAAGTCGTTGGCATTTCGTATTCGTTTTCTGACGGTGATGCTAGGGGCTTTTCATACAGGCTGTCAGAATTGTTTCTGCATCTAAATACAAAAAAATGAATTGTACTTTAGGCCATCTTTAAAATAATGTTTGCTTGCCCTCCCTCGTTTCTGGATAAAATTTTTGGGTCGTTAGGTAGTTGGGTTATTTTTTCCAGAAAATTTCAACATATTTATTGATGTGATAAGAAGAATAAGAAGAAAAACTAGAGCCGAGCTCGTTGCAAAGCAACGAGTAGGTCTTCCGTCCTGTTTGACCGGAAGTAACTTTCTTTTAAGAAAAAAGACAAATGAAGTCCAAAAATGGTTTAATCCTCCAAATTTATGTTAATTATTGCAAAATTAAGTCATTTTTGGCAACTTCCGGTTGGATTTTTTTTTAGCTTCCAGTGACATATGATATCCAAAAACCTGTCAAGAACAGCAAATATATGCAATTTTTGTTTACTTCCGGTTTTACCGGAAGTGACGTCGCCGGACATATTTCGACGACCCCATTAGATAAAGCTTGACATTTTGTACAACTTTGCTTCTTTGACGTATTACAAATTCTCAATACTTTTTGAGATATAAAGGAAATACTTTCGGCCCCTCTAGGTCCTTCATTTTAAGATATCATTTAAAAGATCTTGTAATTCTACACTTTTTTTGTTCTACATGTCTTAACAAAATATATCTAGGTAAAAAGTTATCGTTGAAAAGGTGTCAAAAATTTTTAAATTCTTGATAGGACTATTTTCGGGCCATATCGAGCGTCGGCGCTTCGTACTTCCGGTAAAAATGATATACTGAATTCACTTCTCTAAAGGTTGCTCTATCATCACTGAAAATTTCATACTTCTATCTTCAACGGTTTTTGAGAACATTGCCTGACAAAGTTCTAAAAATGACAAAATCGCGAAAATCTTGACGTCATCAAAATAAAAAATTTTATTTCTAGTTTTTATGATGTTCTATCAGACCTGAAAGTTTTATGAAAATCCATTGAGCCGTTTCCGAGAACTCGCGTGCACAAAATCGGTAAGAAAAAAAATAAGAAGAAAAATAGTGGAAAAGAATCCTAAGAAAAACAATAAGGTCTTCCGCTGAAGACGGAAGACCTTAAATAGAAAGTCTGCTATTGCAAGCAATAGCTTATGTCGCCCCGAACTGGACAAAACTTTCAGTTTTTCTCATCAGTAAAACAATACCCATTAGCTAAGCTTGAAAAAAAAAAACCATCAACTCCTATCAGTACTTTCAGTACTTTGATTAAAAAATCAAAGTTAAATAATTTTCACTTTTTCCCTGTTTCCATGGAAACTATTGACAATTTGCAATTTCTAAATGCAACACGCACAATGACAGATACCAAACAATAAATCAGTAAAGTTTCATGAAGAATGTTCAAGGTACCAGAGAGAACACTCGCGGACAAAATTCGTCGCTTTTTGCAGGTTTCCATGGCAACGGTAGCCATTTTGAAACTAAATGACCACATGGCACAACTACAATCAGTGATCGTCCTTTGAGGAAAGTTTCGGGAAGATTGTCCCAGCCCCGAGAAACCGCCTGGACAACAAAAAAAAAAACAAAAACAAAAACAAAAAAAAAAAACAAAATATGCGTACAATCGCAATATGTCGTCCCCGACTTCGTTCAAGTCGACATAAAAATATCGTATCCTGGTCTGCAAAAAAAAATTGAGTCGGAACATTTTTAGTTAGATGTAGTCAGTCCTAGAGAGCAACCAAAGATGGCCTTACATAAAATGTTTTAGCCATATGCTTGCAAATGTAATGCAAGATAATTTATTCTACAGAGATTCGTATCTCGAGGTATCACTGACCTGTTCTTATGAAAAATTTGATTAACATTTAAAAATGAAAGAAAAAGCAGAGATGAGCTGACGGAAAGCTAGAATACCGGATGACCACATTTACTTGAATACATACTCGTACATGAACATAATTTTCGTATGAGTTGAAACAAGAAACAGAATTATCAATAGTTGTACATACTTGAACCTTTTAACTCGTTATCTCTCATTCCATTCCGGTTTTAAGATTTTTTACTTCTTGAATTTTTATATTTTGCACATGTTGTATATATATTATGATTGTACATATCGGTATATGTACTTAATATAAATATAAATGCAAATAATTTGTATGGTGCATTAGATCTAAATATTTTGGAGAAAAGAGATTGAATTACAATGCACACATTTTTCTATCTGTTTTCTCAAAACCTCAAGTACAATTTCTTTGTTGAAGTGAACAACCCAACATAGATGACAGATAATAGATAAAAACATAAAGGCAATATTGATTTATCGTAGCATCTATCTTTCTGATGAATTATTAGGTATAGTTTCAAAAGTAGATCTGTTTGCTAGTTACTGCACATTAATTGATTAAATGAAGCGTATACTGTATCAGTATATTGGATTTTATTTATCTTAAGACTTAGCAATATTTCTGAGGTCCGTGATTGCTCTTCTCCTGTTTTGCATTGCTTATTGGACTTTTGAGTTTGCACACCGTTCTTATCTCCATATATTTCATATCCAAAGGCTACTCACCGATGAATAAGTTGAACCGTTATTCACGATAGTAGTCAAGAGACAAATAACCGAAATGTACGTTAAACCGTTAATTCTTAATGGCAGCTCTTAGTTTACAATTTGTTGTTTGAACAGTAAAACCAATAAAAGTATTATCAAACAGACAATACACAGTGTGAAAAACACTTTTGGGTAAGAAATAAAATTCAATAAAACAGTTTCATGATCTACTATACCTTTTCATGTAGATGATGACGGACACTATTATTAACAACAAACCGATGACAGTAATTATTGCTATGATGACAATGGAAGTCATTGAAAGAGAATTCTCTGTAATAAATTTATAAATCAAAATTACTATAAAACGGATTATTATTATATCAGCAATACTTATGAAGAAAAAAAATATTCAGTATGCATATGATTTTTACTGTATCGTACCTGTAGAAGTATTCCTTTCCTGCAGTGGAGATTTCGTGGAACATGTTTTTGTATCTAAAAATATTGAAGAAAATTGTTGCATGCTAGCCATACATCTTAAAAATAATTTAGATGTTTAAACGTTACACCATGTCCGCTTTTTCTAAGAGTTTAAAATAAAGAGGTTGCAAAATACACAGCAAATTACGATGGCTCGCTTGAGCTAAACTTTTGTGTCCCGAAATTCAAGATATTGAAGAATAATAACTGCAGATTACAATTTGTTTTATTTTCGCCACTATCACCCTCAAGCGGGTAAAGAAGACAAAACAATGCCTTATGCAGAACTATAACTTTGCGAATTTAAAGCGAAGCACAATTATTTACAAGTATGAAAGGGCGAATACTGTAAAATCATTTTTTAATGGGGGCTCTAATTTTCGTTGTGTTCAAGGAATGGAGAGACACACAAACGCATGAAGACAACAGAACTGAAAAAAATATATATGCCTTACTTCTAAACGTTCTCCAAGAATGAAATCAAATCCGTACAAACTAATATTTTTTCTTCAAACCTCGAAAATTTTACCCCACGAAAATATTTTGTTTACAGTATATCATTGTTAAACAGTAATAATTTAAATACAAGACAGGTTATATCTAAAAAAAAAAGTACACTCTTTGTACTTCATGATACTGACCAAAACAATACCTCTCCTCACACCTTCTGAGCGGCCTCAGACAATACGCTGTGTATAAATTACAGTTGACCACTTTAATTTCCAGCTTCTCTTCACAACAATTATTCGGACCCACCTTACACGCATCACGAGTTACGACGCCATCTCTCACTTCCGGTTCCGTACCTGGAAAAGTGAGATGAAATATGGAGGTAACCAACAATATTCAAGATTAAACGTGCATTCAATCGGGGGCAGAACAAACATGGAGGTGGGTTCAGGTGTCATGGAGAAGAGAGCATTCCGTCGTCCGAAATGCAAGTTTGCATTTTGGAAAATATTTACTCTTATTTGTAAAATCAACATGAAAATCGACAGAGTTGTAACGATATTGTTTTACGTTTATACATGGATACTGTTATATGAAGTAAGCTATCATAAGCTTAAGTATCTGATAAAAAAAAATCTATTTCTTTGAAATATTTAAAATATTCATAATTAAGTTGTGTGTGAAATAGGCTTATAATTCTTTTATTATAAATAATTAAGTTTTATATTAAAAACTACAAACCAATTTAATTTATAAGAAGGTATTAACTACGGGTTACCATTTATCAACAATGGATTATACTTTGTAAAACAAGTAATAACTACCTGATAACTGCATGATAAATAACTAGATAATAACCACTTATTTAATAAGTTATTACCATTCATCCACACTGGATACACCGCTCCGCACGTTAGAAATCTGGGACATCTATCCAGTATCTTAAACCCTTTGTACCATTTCATTTCCAAGTCTCGGTCACATGGCTTTATAATGGATTCATAAATACACTGATTACTGCGATTGACTTGATTAGGTACATTTTCTATCTGATTTCTTGCGTCACATGGATCTACAAGAAACGAAATAGTAAGACATGCTGCATTCAAGAGTTTTCAATTTTAGAGAGAATAAAAATTTGCTTTGAATTTTGTTTAAATTGATAGCTCTGTATTAAATGTTAGGCGTACCTATACCATTTGAACAGTGGTCAAACACTGATGGAGTTGTGAATAAATTTGAGTTTTCTGTTGTCTTCACAGTTAATCTATCAGCAGGATTAGCAGTTGTCAATTTACTGGTTGTACTCACACTGCTAGTTGGATTTGCATTATTGCTAGCACTAGCAGTAAGTCTTGTTGAATGTGTGATAGAGTTCGTAAAGGAAGTTGAGCTGCGAGATGTGGAGGAAAAATCCGTGCTTTTTGGAGAATCTGTCGACAACCGAGCGTGTTCTGTGCTGAGCGTAGTTTGTTGTGACGTCATCTGTGTCGTGGGATATGTGGATGATGAACTCATTGCTGTAGTTTGTTTCGCTGAGTTAGCTGTGCTGATCATTGTCTGTTGTGACGTCATCTGTGTTGTGGGATATGTGGATGAAGAGGACATTACTGTAGTTTGTATCGCAAATGAACTCTTGGTAGTTGACTGCACACTTACTGTAGTCGTTGGTTCACATTCTCCTGACCCATCTATACAAGTTTTTTATTATAAAAAAAAATTAAAATTTTGTTAGCAATATTGCTCTAGTATGCATCATACCCTTACGAAACTTAATGGTGGGGTTATATATCAGTATTGAATCACATTTCAATTTTAAGGTTTCACATTTGGTCCTTTTACTACATAATTTATGTTTATCCTTGATTTAAAAAGACATGTTCGCTGAGAGGGGAAAAGAATTACCGTAGCTGGGCTGTATTCAAGATTATAGCCTTTACATGTACATAACTCTTGGTAATTCTGCACTATTGAATGCATGACATACTAGCAAAACAAGATTACTACAGCAGATAAAGTGCATTCATTTGAACCTTTAAAAATATAGACAAACAGCTCTGTCTGTGTTACAGCTCCTGAGATCTTAAATGCAGCCAGCCCTGACCTTACCAAGACAGTATCGTTCCGAGCAAGCATCAAGCGCTGGAAGGCAATAGGCCATGAATTGTCCGCAGTGACGTATTTTGATTGTTACTTGTTTGTCACAGCAGTTGGAGAACCCAGTTTTACAGACAGTCCTGGTAACTTCTTGGTTAACTGAGGTTGGATGGCTTCCTATGAGGGAAATTTGAAAACTGATGAAATATAAAAACTGTGAAATATATAGATAAAACGAACAATATTCAAGCTCAAAAGTCAACTAAACAATGCAAAATTGGAACAGAGCAAACGAAGACCTCCAAAACATCCGAGTTGTTTAAGTTCTAATTTTTTATGAATCAAAATACCGAACTATTATCAAGCTCTGAAGTTTATTGATACAATGCAGAGCAAACACAGGCCTCCATAAAACGCCAGTGATTAGATACCATAAAGGAGTAAGTATCCTCAATCGATCGGTCAGACCCAGCGAGTACCCAATGTCATAACCGGGCATGCAGAAAAACTCATATTGTACTCTCTGTATAGAAATTTGTTTGTTTGTATGTTGTTTAACGACCCTCTCCAGAATTTTTCACTCATATGGAAACTCAAAATAAAGATAATGTTCATAAACAAGAGCAGCATTCAGAACTTTTAGGAAGCTATATGCAATTAAAAACAAAACCCGTTTTCGTTTCACACTTAAATGATTTAAATGTACTTTGCATCAATTTATGTACCCTGAAAAATTGTTTTTATATTATTTTTGACAAAATAGCATTTTTAACAGGTAAAAAAAATTTAAGTTTAACAGTTGATATAAGATGCAGCGTTATCAAATTCAAAATGATCAAAGTGAAACAGTGGAGACAACGAACAGTATATAAGCTCAAAGTCTAATTATATGTTGCCAAAAAATCGAGAGTAAAGCAAACACGGACCTCCAAAAAAAGAACAGAGTTGCCATAAAGGGATGAGTTTCCCCCGATATTGATCATACCCGCCAAGTGCTCCGTGTCATGATCGAGAAAAACGAAAAAAAAATGTGTACAATTAATTATTTACATGTATGTAAATAATGGCCTGGCAATGTGTATGAAAAAGTCAGTCAACCTTTGACTCAATGATAAGTTGTTGAAAAAAGTCATTTTATTGACTGTAGAACTTACGTGGTATTTTTTTTTAAACGAGACAGCTGATATTCTTGTTTCATCAACTTGTTTAACATCAAACAAATTTGATTTTATGTTGCTTTATGTCCGATTCAATATTTTTTCACTCGTGTAGAGACATAAGCATATACTGGTGAAAGGCTTTAAATTTTGACTTTTACTCGGTACTCAGGGACATTGAGCAGTGAGGGTTCTTTATTGTGCTTACGCCTACCGTGACACGGGACCTCGGTTTTTAAAAGGTCTCATCCGAAGGATCCGTAATTTTCACTTCAAGTGCCCAGCACACGGTGAAGGAACAGTTGCTACCCATTTTTTATCGACTTAGATCAATCACAGCCGAAATTCGAACTCAAGACCTTCCGATCACCATCAAACAGAAAAGACTGTTTCATGATCTACAAAATATACCCTAATATCCACGCTTACTTTTGTGGGCGTGCATAAAAATTCTCTATCTATAATGCATTTACCACATCTATTATAACAATATAAAAGAAACTGAAATAAGATAATGAACTTTACCATTGAGCCAGTAGGGGTATATAGCACCACAAAATCCTAGACTGGGACACACAGTCAGCATTGTTGAACTGTATCTGTACCAGCCCGGGGTGATATAACGGTCGCAGTACGGTCTATCGCCGTTATACGGACAATGCGGGTACCGGGCGTTGGGCTGGAACGGTTGCTTTGTGTTGGCGACCTCACACACATCTAGCGAGATAAAACAAACAGATATATACATATAAAGCTTCCATCATTTATGCATACATCAATCATGCACATATGTATAATAGATAAAAAGTGAGGTACGTATCGAAATAAAAAAAAGTCAACGATGAACAAAATGCAAACTCAATCTGTATAAAAAAAGTTACCACCATGGATCTACGAAATAGAACACCCCTGGAAAATATCTTAAATCTGGTTGTCGTAAGGCAAAAGAACAAGGTTGACTAAGAGCTTTTTCTGACCATGTGAGTTTCTTATAAACCAACACTGTTCAGATGAAATACTAGTTAAATTTATTAAATTTCACTTGTCTGTTTGTTGATTGCATATCTACAAAGAATTATGTATTTTGTTGCATTATGTTACACGATCTTCAAATCCTGAAACATTTTTTATTCAAAACTGTCCAAACCTTTACATTTTTCTTCAGTATTTTTCATAAAGTCAAAGCATAAAGTCAAAAGTGTGCAATCATATCATGAAAAATCTGTTTCGGAAGATTTTAATACAGATTGTAATTTTTATCGCTAGAAGTGGGCTCATATAGAAGTTCTTTGCTGGAGGTACTCAAATAAAACCAACTTATGTAGCAATCAAGAATATTGCAATTTCACAAAGCCTGTTTTAATACTTGGACTTTCTTGAAAATCATTTTTACAGGAAATAAAAGCGAAGAGAAGAAACATTGAAATGGACAATGTATCGGTCAGTTAATTGGTATATGGACGAAGACATTATGAATAAAGGGAACACCAACTTATAATTGCGTTGAACTACTTATCTATCAATAATTCTTGTAGCATGTATTTAAATATTAAATTAAAATCTCCTAAATCAAATGAAGATTCCATTGTTTATAACACTATCATTCATTCTGACCAAAACCAGAAATTTAGTTGAGTTTTTTTTTTCTGATCAACAATCAGGTCTATTCAATTAAACTACACTCCAACACACACCTTTGATGAATGGGTTTTAAAACTTAATAAATAAAAAAAACCCTGACCTCTTTTTTGCAGTGTTGAAAACGTATTGTCAATAAAAGTCGTCTTTTTCAGCACCATTTAGGATAAGTTTGAATAACTTAGTCGGTATAAAATTGTAAAATGAATGAATACCTCGTAAAGGTTTAAATGCACTGTCAGATTTAAAGGGGGGGTCAGCCCCCCTCCCTTTTGTGCCAAAAAAACAGAAGAAATGATAAATCAATATTTTTAGTGTGTCTGTGGACCGATACCCTGACCCAAAAGTAGTCGGTTCCCCTTTTTCTGGATTTCTGGATCCGCCACTGGGATATTTTCTTCCTCAATGAAGTATAACAACGAAGAATAATGAAGAGAAACCAAAAGAGTTAAAACTTCAAATTATAAAAATTATGAATGATTTATAAGTGATTTCCCGATTTGATTTTATTACGATGGCGACGAGGAATCTTCGATCCAGTGTCACATGAGCCATAAAAAGGTTTGAAACTAACACAAAGCATCAATAAATCATTTTAGTGTCTTACAAGCAATGGAAACAGTCTGGAAATTATTTTGTTCTTATGTTACAAATACGTTGGTCAGAATATCAATTAGATTTCAGTAAATTTTACACTACCTCTCTGCCTAAGCAACAATGTATGATAACAAAATTATGTGAAAGAAAAAAAAGTAAATTTAGTGAACATTAAACAATAGTTCACGTTTGTTTCTACTACTTCCAGGCATGTGTCAAAAAGAAATCTGAAACATTGTACCACATCTGCAGTATGTCTACAATTTTGGCTACTTTATTGCTTTTTTATCACTTTTCGTTCTTGAGACAGCGTCGCGTCAATGAAAGAAAACACCAACAATAGACACTTGGGTGTAAATAAGAACTGCCCTTTTTTGACTATCTTTGTAATAAAAGATATATCCCTGTATTAAAAAAAAGAAAGATTATAATTCTTTCACATCAAATTCCCTGTAGTCATGTTACAGGCTTGGGAGGTAATGAAAAATTAGTATGTGTTACATATTAAATTCAGAATTTATCAAATTATACTAATCAAAAACAATCTGTTTTAGATAATTAAAACCTAATAAAGTTGAACCTTTTAATGTAACATATGCAACAGGCCCGTAGCGTGCCTCACTCAGAAAAGAATCTTAATCTTAAATAAGATTGAATGATTGATTGTATGTTATTAAACATGCCTTTCGTCAATTTTGCACTCAAATGGAGACGCCACCACTTGCCGGTGGAGAGCTACAAATTTTGTCCTATATACTTGTCATTCAGGGCCATTGAGCAGTGAATTGAGCAGTGAGGGATATTTTTCATGCCAACACCTACTGCGACACGGAACCTCAGTTTATATCTCATCCGAAGGACCAGTCACCACGTCCCACAGTTGAATTCGAACCCGCGAAGTAAGAACTGACTCCTTACCTCGCGACTCTAGAGCTGAAGCTCCAACCACTGCGCCATGCGATCGACTACTGAGTAATTTAGATAGAAAGATAAATATGACCCTGGGTTGTTTTTTCTTTGTTCAATCATTACGTCAGAATTACTGTTGCAGTTGTATATTATAATCTTTTCCTGAACTTCAAAAGGTTTGTGTATCTTTGCTTTTCTTGAAAAAAAGAAATCTTTTTACCTGTGACCAAAAAAAAAAAAAAAAAAAAAAAAAAAATTCTGGATAAAAAATCTAACAAAACTAGTTTTACATCTTGCACCTACCTTTTCCATTTGTATCACAGAAGTATAAAGACTGGGAATCTGAAACAGAAAAAGAATGGATTTTTTTTCATATTAATTGGATGAAATACATTTAGCTCACCTGATCTCAGGTTACCTGTTCTGATAATCTGTTGTTCAATGACATTCCATCTGTCCATCTGTCTGTCTGTCTGTCTGTCATTCTTTTAATATTCTTAGTTTCTTCTGAAGGAACAACATGATTCAATTGAAATATTACTTGTATTGGAAAAAAGATTCAAGGCATTGATATTGATATTAAATTTGATTCCCCAATCCTTTAAAAAATCGTTTGAAAAACAGAAGTGCTGAAGGTATGCAATTGAGCCAATGAGCGAGAAAAAAGTTCCTCTTTAAACTGAAAGTGAAAAAAGGTATTCTTTTTACCATAAAGTAAATATTTAAATGTAAATTGACATCAAATTGAATTGATACTCGGCTTTCTTTTGTGTAAAAATAATTTACTTCGCTCCTAATGCGGAAGATAAACATGCATACAGTCAACTGCTCTCCCTATGAATTTTTTCAATGTTATATCACAAATTGTATAAAGGTTTCGTGAAAGAAAAAGGGGAAAAGAGAAGAAAAACAGTGTTTGAAAATATTTTTATAATCCGCTTGAACCCTGATATGTCAAGCAAAAAATAAACACGGAAAGTAATAAATTTCAGATGGATTTTTCAAGATTACATTGATTTCTTTCCTTTTCAAAAATTAGAAAATGACAAAGAATTTTGCAAATACAGCCAAAAAAGTTTACACGCTATTTTATTCTGTGTACAGCCAAGAGTATAATATTGTTATATTTAATGGAGGGTTGCCTTCAATTAGGCTTGTGTTAAATTATGAAGCTATCGTGTACTTTATTACACAGGGACTTTGCGACATGTGGTAATTCATAGAATTTCCAGGTTAAAAATTTCAAAAGTTCAATTCAAGTAATATCATATTCAAGGACAATTATCTTGAAATATATTGTCTGAGAAAAGATAACAAGAGTGTATAGCCATGAGATGAACAGAAAAGTCATTGTCTCTTTTAAATCTGTGTCCATACAACATTTTTTTTTACATTAAATACCACTTCTTATAAAATATAACGTGCACGCTCTCTTCCCTTCTCTCTCTCTCTCCCCCTCTCTCTCTCATGATTTACCTCATATTCACCACTGTGGTTTAAAGGAACATGGACACAGTTTCAGCTAAAAATTTTCAAATTTATTTAACCTTTTTTTTTTAAAAAAAATATTTTAAATATTCAACAGAGGCATTTCTAATGATCATCAAAAATTTGAATTTCAGTTGTCGTGATACGAGACAGATTTAGAGCTCCAATATTTTGTTTTGTAAACAGGACCCGTGCCATGATTTAGTTTACATAGGTTAAATATACGTATGTATGTTGGTTCAAAGCAGGTTTTTTTTTCAACAAAGAAGTTAATTCTAAATATGACTAGACAGTTTCCGGTGATTTGCCGAATCTAGTTTTGTTATAAACATGATACTTTCTATATGTAATAAAAATAAGCAAGGCACGAGTCTTGTTTACATTATGAAAAATTAAGTTCGTGTGTAAATCAAGAAATGATGTTCAGATTTTTTCGGATCATCAGGTTTGCCTTAGTTTGGAATTGTAAACATTAAAATTGTTTTTAAAAAATCAGTGTACACTGTGTCCATGTCTCTTTAAATGTGCATGTAGCATTCTTTTGAATTTTAAACAAGGAATAGATTTATAGAATATAATTAGATAAATCAATATTTCTACATTTGTTTTAAAGATTATCAAGATACAATCAATAAACACAAAAAATAAATGTTATAATCGAAAAAAAAAATGAATTTAGAAATCAATAATAACATTGCATGTTCTTATTGAATATTCCCATATAATATGAATTTATATATCCAACGTTTATTGTCCATGATATATAAAGGGATAAAAATACATCAATACAAAGTTTGATGTGATTTTTTTTTTACCTACCTATTGTTTCAAAGACCATGAATAAAACCAGAAATGATATCATTTCGCAGTCCGTCTCCCAAATGTGTTGTTAAGATATCATATTACTTCGCTAGTCGGTTTAAAAAAAACTTTTTTATTCCAAATTCAAAAAGCAATAAAGATTTTAACACTTGTAAAAACCATAGCTCCACATGAATTATCGTCGTAGAACTTAAAACAAATCTGATGTGTAGAATCCGCGCATTTAACTAACCAGGAAGTGTACAATTGCATTAAATGGAAAGAAAGAAAGGTGTTGTTATTTTTGGGTTATTTAAATATTTCCCTGTTCATGTTAAAGAATACATTACATTTTTCTTTTATTCTTATATACATTTATCTTTACATACTGTGTACTTGAAGGAAGAAATGTAGATAATAAAGATTTAGTAAAAAAAAAAGTTTAAAGCGAGTTAAGCCCGAAAAAGCGAACACGCTTATAACAAATTGGCACTTATAACATATAGCATGGGAGTAAAACAAATCGTTAAGTACTGTTTCTGTAATTAAGGACAACTTTAAATTAAGATTAAACTAGAGGTACTGTGAGCAATGAGCTCACTAAATGATACCCCCCGCCTCCCATATGGTTATAACTGGTGAAAAAGTCCATGTTTTCCTGTGGCCGGGAAACCCAAAATATGTGTCGGATCAAAAAGTAAAATAGGAGGTGCACAATGGCAATGTGTAATAAAGATTCTGTGAAAGTTTCATTAAATTTCATTCAGTGGTATGAGAGGAGTTGCGGATAAGAGATGGGTACCCCAAAGCGTAACAGACGGACGGACGGACAGACAGACGGACGGACGGACGGACGTACAGACGGACGGACGGACGGACGGACGGACGGAATTAACGATTACTATATACCCTCCCGCTTTTCAAGCGGGGGGTATAAATACCCTCCCGCTTTTCAAGCGGGGGGTATAATAAAGATTCTGTGAAAGTTTCATTAAATTTCTTTCAGTGGTATGGGAGGAGTTGCGGATAAGAGATGGGTACCACAAAGCGTAACAGACGGACGGACAGACGGACGGACACACATTTGGTTATATATTGGGTACATCAAGTCCAAGTCCTATTGGATACTGCTTATTGGATACAAAAAAAGTGTACACACGAGAGAGCATTATTTGGGTAGTTACTGTTCAAATCTTATTGGATATTAATCCTCGTGTCCGTATTTTATTGGGTTTTTTCTTATTGTTTTTTATTCATTTCAAATTTATTATATATTTAATATTTGCTGGTAAATTCAGACAAGACTGAAAACCTTTGGTTTTGAACCCATATTTTTGTCAATTTCTGTGATATAGCTCTTTTATTGTAACACCTAACTAATTTGTTCTTAGCAATAAGGATATACACCTGTATATTTCAAAATAACTAATATTAAAATATATGAATACTTAAATGCAAAAAAACTGAATTGTGAAAACACAACTCAACACATCTCAGACTCTGTTTAACCTTTCTTGAATAACAAAATTAAGTATTTAAGGAGAAACCTTTTTGAGTCATGACCAATTAATAATAAGCAAATGCCCATTACATGTTGGACAGAATGAAGGTATCCAACAGGCATTGGACAGGTGTCCTATACCTGTTGGGTTGTATTTTGACGAAGGGATTGAACTACCCAAGAACAATTGAACATGTGTACATTGTCCAATTCTAGTTGGGTTTCTTGAATCTCCTCAGCAAAATACAACCCAACAGGTAATGGACACCTGTCCAACTCCTCTTGGATATCTACATGTACATCCCACCCAACAGGTAATGGACACTTGTCCAATTCTTCTTGGGTTTCTTGAATTGTTTCATCTGAATACCACCCAACAGGTAATGGACATCTGTCCAACTCCTCTTGGATATCTACATCCTACCCAACAGGCAATGGACACTTGTCTAATTCTTGGGTTTCTTGAATTGCATCATCAAAATACAACCCAACAGGTAATGGACACCTGTCCAACTCCTCTTGGATATCTACATCCACCCAACAGGTAATGGACACTTGTCCAATTCTTCTTGGGTTTCTTGAATTGTTTCATCAGAATACCACCCAAAAGGTAATGGACATTCGTCCAACTTCTCTTGGATATCTACATCCCACCCAACAGGCAATGGACACTTGTCTAATTCTTGGGTTTCTTTTATCTCCTCATAAAATACAACCCAACAGGTAATGGACACCTGTCCAACTCCTCTTGGATATCTACATCCCACCCAACAGGTAATGGACACTTGTCCAATTCTTCTTGGGTTTCTTGAATTGTTTCATCAGAATACCACCCAACAGGTAATGGACATCTGTCCAACTCCTCTTGGATATCTACATCCCACCCAACAGGCAATGGACACTTGTCTAATTCTTGGGTTTCTTGAGAATCCCCTAATCAGAATACTACCCAACATGTAATGGACACCTGTCCAATTCCTTTTGGATATCTTCATCCCTTCAATAGTATATAAACTAAAAGGTATTGGACATTCTTCTTGGGTTACTCAAATTTTTTTTTCATAAGAAAGAAAACCCAATAGGTATTGGACATTGGTTCAACTCTTCTTGGATACAATGTATTACATCCCAACATTAGAATAAAACCCAACAGGTGATGTTTACCTGTCCAATTCTTCTTGGGTTACTTATACCCTTCATTAAAATTGTCAAATTTGTCTTGGATATTTATACTCTTGCATTAGATTGCAAACCCAATAAGTATGACATTTACCTTCCCTAGCTGAATTCAAATTTATCTGCATAAGCATACATAAGTCCAAAACATATTTAATACTTTAATTCTAACATTTCACATCTCATTCAGTGTACACTTTACAAATGATAGGAAATATATAAGCATTTTGCGCCTAAACTATTTGGCTTTTAAAGAATTTTATAACCATGTTTGCAAGATTTAAATTTAAATATTGGAACTTGGAGCAAGTCATTACAGGTAGAGCAAGATGCTGAAAACCATATTGATAAATAGATCACACCCTTGATAAAATATTTGCCTTCAGTTGCTAAGATTGTGTTGTACTATATGGAAAATTTCTATAATCCTGTTTATTACAGATACATGTACAATGCATATTTTCCCTGAAATAATAAAAATACTTCTGAGATGTAAAAGAATAGATTAAATAGTCACCGATGTTAAAAGATATAACATGATCTCATTAATCTGGTTTGGAAATCACAAACTTAGTTTTGAAGCCGATAAAACAGTGTCGCACCAGAAAACCCAGTTACAAGTACGATGAATGAATTCGTTGTATCAAAACTTTAAAATAATTGATGCACTATGTCCAAATCTTTTCGACAAAATGGGATAAAGATATTAAATCAAATCATCACTGTTATAAGTCTTAGAACTAGAGAAAAGTCATTACATGCCCAAATTTTACATATAAGACTTTGATCCTATATTTCAATAAATGTCAAAATGGTTTTATTTTTGTTTCTGTTCAATACTTTCTTCTTCAGGGTCTCTCATGGCCTATACTGTATGATACCTCCATTGACCCTGCTCTTTTACATTGCCATATGTTTATCCAGTAGCAGTGGTTATGCTCAGGCAATCTTTGAAATATTCCTCATTTCATGCATCTCCTTCAGTTCTGCCTCTGTCCATTTTATTCATTCTGCAATTAGATAAAGGTATTTCTTTGCACAAAATTTAATTAAAATTGATTAAGCTGGATAGAAGTTGAAAATATGAAAAATTACAGTCAAACAGTTTATGAATAACTTTCAGCACATCAGACATGAGGTAGTGATCCTTAAATAAAATACACCTACAAGATGAAGCTGTTTTATTCCTTTGAAGTGATATCTAGTATTGTTTCTTTTCCTGTATGCCACCTCTATCAGAACAAAATGTTATACATGTATTAACATAACCTATGACCGTATAGTATCCCAGTATTTACTTTACAATTAATTAAGTTCTGGAACCAACCCTCAGATGCCCTTAAAACAAATGATTCTAAACTGGCAAAGGTAAAGGGCATCTGAAGAATTTAAAATAAAATGATAGTACAAACAAGCAAACAGTGTGCATGAAAATGTTGGCAAACACTAAAAAAATACTAAGGTACTTTCTCAAACTTAACATGAATACTAAAGAGGTTTTATGTAGCTGTATTGCACATACCAAAAGCTTTCCTGTAGTTAAAGGTTGGTTGCCTAGTAGTTATGTAGTATGTACAAGTTTTTCCCTCTATCTCTTCTAATTTAAGAAGCGAAAATGTCTCTAAAAATCTTATGGTTGGCATGAAGTATCCCTGTTCATTTTACTGATTACTTACAATTGTCCTATTTCTGAGGGTCATCTTCTGATGGGTGTGTTCTCTGCAATGTTCACAATTGAAGTTCCTGTTTGACCTGTTAAGTATTGAAAATCCTCAATGAACATGATTATAGTTTTAATTTCCATTGTAATTATTGATTACTTTTATTAAAAAAAATCTAAAACAATTTATTGTAACATAATACTTGGGAAAATATTTATGTAATATAAGTGGAAAAAAGGAATCATTATCTCCAGTTATCCTAAAATCACAAGTAAGCATTAATCATATAAATTCACATACGTAAACCCATTAGCTTTTTGTGCTATTAAATCATAGTCATCGCTGTACAATAAAGGAAATCAAGTACTAATCCACAGCTTTGTGGCAATAAAGTTACTATCCCCGAGTAAAAAGTATAGAGGCAAAAATTAAAAAAGTAACATTGAAAAAAAATTCATCGTGAAAAAAGTGGGCCCGTTTCATCAAAAGTCGTAAAGTTAAGCCTTAACTTAGGCGTACTTCCGGGGATTACGCCAAAATTTAGTCGGGCGTAATTTGCGTTTCACCAAGTGGCGTAAGTCTAGTCGTAAAAGATACGCTTAGTCACAGGACTAAATCCTTGACAACGTTGCATTGCGCAGGCGCAAAAACATAAACATTGCACAAAGCGTACAAACATGTGTAAATTGTAGCACGTCAAAGTACAGAATAACACAAGTTATAGATAAATTAATACTTGCACTAATTGAAACATGCATGGGTTTATAGTGTTATGTAAGAGACATGCATCTTTTAAGAAACCAATTTTAGTTTGTTTTTTTTTACAATATTTCAATAATAAAAGTCTAATAAATTGAAAGGATGAAAAGGACAGTACATGTACTTGTATTTCGGAATTAAGCAAAACTATTCATTTTGGAAATTTAATTACACCCATACCTCCTCTTCCCGAAATTGATACAGGTTAATAACTTCGCCTTTGATAATAAATTTCATGATTCGATAAATACTGATTCTACTGACAAATACTAATAATTAAGTTTGAGACAGAATAAGATTTAAAAATTTTAATAAGAAATGTATATGCAAGCAAAAATAATGAAAACAAAATGCAAACGGTTTACATATGAACACATTTTGAGTCAAGAAATAAATTTTACACGTTTACTACTATGGTACATGTAAAATAATCCTCTCTGTATTTATTAATTTTTTATCAATTCAATTGATTCATAATTGTTCAGTTATAGAAAAAAATTCTTTACTATCTGCAGATTAAATATTATGTACCGTTTTAATAGTACGCAGAGAGAAAGAGAGAGAGGGGGGGTTGGAAAAATGACTACAAAGATATTCTTACAAAAATTCTTTGCTTGTGTGGTGTCTGTCTTTAAAATTTAGTTACAGCTACTTTCTATTTTGTTTTCATTAAAATGTAAGTAATGCAGGAAATCAAAAACATGTATATTTTCATCTTAAATGTGCTTTATATGCGCTCAGATTATCTTATACTATGTAAAATTTGCTCTTTTAAACAAAATTATGAAAATTAAAGATGTCTTCTGCATCAATGTTTGTCTGAGAAAAAAAATAGGAATAATTCATTCTTGAACTTAACTGTGTAATTATCACCATCTTACATCGATATCATAAAAGCAATAATTTATTACCACTTTCAAAAATCTCTCATTGTCTATGAGACCCCAACCCCCTCCCTGGGTTGGGTTCTATGATTCGCCGGGAACATCACTTGTCCCAGATACCTAGGAAAATAATTACTTTCGTCCTTAACTAAGTAATCTGTACATTCACCGTTAATTAATCTGCAAATTCGGGAGATTCTGAACCCTCTCTCCGACCCCCTCTGGATCCACGCATGTGGACAAGAAGTAAATAAGAAATGGACTCTTCAAACATGACAAAAACTATTTGGTTTTAAGATGGGTTATTTTTTTGAATTTTTTTTCTTAAATGTAGAAAATTACATGAAAGATGATAATTATGCTTTTGAAACCGATTTTTTTTTTTTTTTTTTTTTTTTTTTTTTCAGAAAATATGCTGTTGGAAAATATTTTTTCAAAATAGACAATTTTTATGGGTCTCTTTTTAGTAAATGAAAAATAAACTAGAGGTACCGTAAGCAATGAGTTCAATAAAAGATATCCCCCCGCCTTCCATATAAATATAATGGCAGTGTCCATGTTTTGCTGTGGGAAACCCAAAATATGTGTCGGATCAAAAAGTTCAATAATGCACAATGGTAATATATAATAAAGATTCTGTGAAAATTTCACCAAATTTCAATCAGTGATATGAAAGAAGTTGCGGATAGAGATGGGTACCCCCAAAGCGTAACAGATGGACGGACGGACATCCCGATTACTAAATAGTATATACATGTACATATACATGTACCGTCCCGCTTTTCAAGCGGGGTGTAGAAATACAGTTATATATGTAAATTGATTTACAATACCTTAGACATACAATACCACAATCAAATGTGTATGAATGCATTGTCAAAACGTAAGAAATCTCTATTAAGACAATCTTTTCTTCTCAGCAGAAATTTATCAAAATATTATTTGAGTATGTTATTACTCAAATCAACTACGTCCCCAAGTAGTTGTAACAACCCCCCCCCCTCCCCCTCTTCATAATATGTATAATTAAATAATGCATTGTTTGTATTTTAAATTCTTCTTAGAACCTTACTTTTTCTTTAGAACTCGCCAAAATTAATAAAAAGGCCTTATTTTAACTTTACGCCCTAACTTACGCCTACCCATGAGTAGACGTAAAAGTTTGGCCTAAATTTAGTCAGGCATAACGATACACTCTTTAATGAAATGCAAATATTCGTGCTAGTGCCGACTTTACGCCGGCGTAGCGCTACGACTGGGCATACGACCTTTGATGGAATGGGCCCACAGGGTATTAACTACAGATGATTCTTTTTAAAATTAAAGTTTAATTTAATTTTCGCTAGTAAAATTTAATCATATATAAATTAATGATTTAAAAAAATGAAAAAAATATTTTAAATATTCCTTTTCTGGTCATTCACTAGTTCGTCTAATTAAAACGAAGCAAAAATCATTTTGTTTTCATCTTGAATCATTTAAAGTCATATATGGCGTATGTACAATGAAAATTATTAGACTACAATTATAAGAACTTATTATTTGTATCATTACTTTATATAAACATGATAAAGATAGAAATTTTCCGTAAATTACAAAATCTAAGTCAATTGCGTTATAAAGGTATCAAAATTTAATTTGGATTCTCGGAGTTTTCTCCGACTTGGAAGAAAATATAAAAGATTTAAATAACACATTACAGAGAAGTTCTCCGTGCTCCGAATTGTATGAAAAGCTTTAATTTAAATGTATTTACTATATTTCTTTACTTAATTTTGTATTTTTCAAAAATATATTTTTTGATCAGTTACGCCATGGCTTTAAAAAACGCTACATAATTGCATGACACTTATCATTGAGCTGATTGAGTGAATGTTATGTATATAATTTAATAATGGGATATCTGTGAGGTATATATGTACAAGCAAATATTGCTATATTAAACAAAGGAAAGGGGGGAATTCAAATTAGGAAATAAAAGATCGTTTTTAAGTAAATCAGTCTTGTAGTACTGCAAAATGGATGCAGTTGTGGAGATTTATGGATAATATGAGCATGCTGTCTGGAATATTTCCATATTAGGGAATTTAATAGCAAAAAAGAGTGAAAATACCGGTGGTGCTTTTCATGTATTACATGTGTATTTTAAAATTCCTAATAGCCCAAGGGGATTCCTCAGTGCAGAAAACCACTAGGCCCATCCTCAAAAATGGAAGCCCCGGGTGTAGCGCAATGCTAATTACACACCCATCATGTGAAATAGTTATAGTAGCCCTATATCAATTTCAGTATTGTTTTAAATCAATTAAAACAAATGACAAAAACAATAATTTTAAAAAAAAAATCAAAATAAAGCAGACACTCAGTCAAAATCAAAGACAGAAAGAAGTAATGTTTTGACTGAAAGTTTTTCGGTAATACAATGAATCTCTTAAGTTACATATCAGATGAGATAAACTTACATACAATTATTTAGTTGTTGTCAATTATCCCATTTATCATCATCTCAGCTCAGTTTGCGATTGTAATACTGTCTACATGAACCGATAATTTACAGCTGATTTATGAACACATGATTGTTAAAATTTTCATTTCCCTTTCCAATATACATTGTCAGAACATACTTAGTTGGTTATGATATAAAATTAAATAATAAACACTTTCGATTTATTAAAGATTATCTAACACTATACGATCATTTACTAAATATTTTAATCTTCAAATAAAAATCAGTAAACGACAAATACTTCTCGCCCTCAAGAGAGTTAAAAAGACAGAGAAAATTCAAAATACAAACAAAAGCAACTTAGGATTAATTGTTCCGATATATCTATTTTGATTTTGTGTACAATTGTTTTCAAAATTACATTAAAATCAATTTTCCTTAAACAAGAACCCAGCAATAGATAAATATTAATAGAATAAACTTACCTTTTCTCTTGTCAATCAGAAAATCTTGTTGACATTAAGTGTTTCTTAGTCGCCATATTTTTTTTCCATGAAAACAAACGTTGTTATGATCAGGATCAACGGAAGTTGATTTTCGGAACTCTCGAGAATTTAGAGTTCCGAATGTAAAACTGAAACAACAAAACACGGTGCGTCCGTGAAAGCAACTTTTTTGGACACTTTTTTGGACAAATCGTCGTGTCCAAGTTTTGTTGGGTACTAACCTGCAAATACCCAATTAGGGTGTTTTAAGCATATTCAGCGACACTTCTTATTGGGTATACCCAATAAGCAAAAAGTACCCAATAAGTACAATCTTGGCATGAAAAATACCCAATAAATGCACTCTCGTAAACACGGACGGACGGACGGACGTACAGACGGACGGAAATACCGATTACTATATACCCTCCCGCTTTTCAAGCGGGGGGTATAATAAGGGGAAATACATGTAAGACATTCTTTTTGATATACTGTGGGATGTTATTGCAGCCCGGAGGACCGGGCTGCTCTATACATATAAGTTTAAGTGTTGGTGTATGGGGATTGAGGTGGGAGTAGTTATTCAGAATTAAAGGTTTTCTAAACATTGAAAAGTTTGTTAATCAGAATGTTCTTTCCCTTTATAAATTACGAGATACATAATATATTTACTTCCATAAAGTTAATCTTTAAAAATATTTATGTTTTTCATATTTAATATATAAAGTTGTTTATCATTTACAATCGAAAAAACGACAGATCCCTTTTTTTTAGAACGTCGAATTTTACTTCTCGTATAAAAACGTACTCTGCACAGTTTGTGTTTTATATTCTAAAATTGAAAATTAAATACATTTTTGAATATAGATGATGCATGTGCCTAACTTCAATTTATATTTTATGCAGCCTACATTTACTCGAGGAATTGAAGTTTAAAATGGTATCGTTTTTGTTTGATATTTATCCGACTTTAAGTTTTCAAATATTCGTGACTATCGTCTCCATCAATTAGACGCATGCCTTTTCACACATATCGAAGCGGTTTGATGATCAAGACTCATTTCCATTGTTTACTTTATATATTTCCCGGGCGACAATTGATGATTACATAAATGTTTTCTTGTAGTACTTTGAGAGAGAGAGAGAGAGAGAGAGAGAGAGAGAGAGAGAGAGAGAGAGAGAGAGAGAGAGAGAGAGAGAGAGAGAGAGAGAGAGAGAGAGAGAGAGAGAGAGAGAGAGAGAGAGAGAGAGAGAGAGAGAGAGAGAGAGAGAGAGAGAGAGAGAGAGAGAGAGAGAGAGAGAGAGAGATTATCCAATTCTATTTTGAATAGATTTAAACTTCCGTATTATTAATCACCAGATTGAAATCTCTTTTAATCTTGAACAAAAACATTGCTGACGAAGTGTCTTAAAAAGCTCTTTAAAAGACATTTTGTTTACATTCACTGCAATGTACGACATGGATTTAAGAAATTGAAATGTATTAACCTTAAACCTTTAACATTTCATGAAGACTGGTTTTGTAGATTTATCCAATTTAATCTCAATCAGTTAAAATGTTTCAAATAAGGTCATTTTTCTAGTCTTTCCACATAAGAGTATTTGTTTTGTAAGACGAACTCCTCTCTATCTTGTCAGTTTGTCCTTTTTCAATATTAGTTTTGTTGCAATGATCTTTGTATACACTCTGCATATATAATTCAAAGCAATATATTATTTTAGATACGTTTTAGTACATCCAGGGTTATCTTATGTTATCTCATGCAAATTTTGCAGAAATATAGCCCAGTATTTGTGAGATGCGTATAAAAAAAATTGTGATTTCTAGGATCTAGTGATAGAATATTTCATTAAGGTTATATACAAAAATATTCTGCAGCTTATTATCAGGAAGCAAAGGATGGTCGTGGCATATTTTTCATTCAATATAAAATTATACAAAGAGAAATATTCTGCTTGTTTCTTGTAATAACAAAACATGGACACAATGTCTCTGCACATGTATGTTCGTTTTGCATATGTCATTTGTGCACCGAAAATGTTTCATCAAGTTGTGCTCATTCTAAGTTTCACATGATCCCAATTTTCTCTGTCTTCCAACAAATTTGTAGCTTAAAAAAAGAATTCTTAAGGGTTTCATTGTCTGGGACTTAAATACTTGAAAGGAATTCAGATATTGCAATTGAAAAGTTGTGAGTGGAAACAAAAATCAAATATTCGGTGAAATTAAAAAGTTTAAGATTTCTTTATGTTTCTCAAATGTTTATACCAAAGCCATTGTTTCAATCTTCGAAAAATAAGTCGTTTGGAGCTACGTTATATTCGTCACGTGAACCGTAACCATCGATTTTTAATTATATTGAGTGAAACATTATGTTGCTAAATAAGAATAAAACATAGATATTTGGCATAAAACACAAAACAGTAAATTGTTTTAAAAAATGAATTGCATCATACATACATGTACATGTGTATCAATCATACAAAAGTGGGAGCACTTCATATCTGATAGGTTACTTCTTGAACAAATTACATGTACTTTAGTTTGAACGTATTTACGATACCAAGCAATTTTCGAGAATGAAGTCACCTATTTCACCTCTGGAATTTTCAAAGATCTGTATTTTAAACCTTTTTGACAGAATTCTATTGTTAAATGAATTCATTAGATCATTCACGTTCTTTATAATCACCTTCATATATTGAACTGTGTATTAAAATTGATAACTTTTACTGACGATGTACTACATGTATCTAAAGAATTCAGCTATTAGTATATTATTATTAAATCTCTTACAATTCAAGTAGAATAAAAATGTACACATATCTCATTAAAGTTAAAATTGGCTTCATATGAGTTCAATATTTACAGGGAATGCTTACTCCTCATTGGCACCTAATCCCACCTCTGGAATTACAATGGGTTCATGTTTTATGCGCTATTCACATATCTGAATTGCATAAATATATCTTTTTAAAGATTTATCACTGTTCATTATCTTAAACTCAAAAGATGTGTATTTGTTTTGAGAGGTGATTGTCTCCCCATTTCGTCACTGCTTCTTTGCGTTAATATTAGTTTTATTCCAGTGGTCATTGTACTTATGTCGATCATAGATAGTTCACTTCATTCAACTATAAAAAGATACAATGTGATCTGAGAGAAAGTTCCTTGTTTCAGGCAATTAAGACACTAATCAATAAATAAACTTAATTTGCGTGGACAAAAATAAGTCTTTACCATGTATGACAATAGGTTTTGCTGCATACGGAGTTTATGTATATCTCAGTTGATTCAATACGCAAGAGCATGCTCAATTTGTAAAACGTGGTGAATTATTGTCAAACAAGTTGATGAAACAAGATTATCAGTAGTCTCGTTTTAAGTCATCATTTCGTAGGTTCTATGTTGATACAATGAACTTGTCAGCTAATACAATTTATCATTGAGTCAAATGCTCACTGACGTTTTTCATACTATTTGTTAGTCTATTATTTATACACTGAATTGACCTATTCTGTATTGTTTTATGGACATTTGCACTGGAGGTCCCTGTTTGCTCTGCTCCTATTCTGTATTGTTTTATGGACATTTGATCTTGAATGCTGTTGGTTATCTCCATATATTTCATTTTTGTTAATACTTAAACACAGGAATTGATAATTGTGTATGCTCATTTCAGTTCAAATATGTACAAATACAGTTACACAGAATAGTTCCTGAAGTCTCTCTAATCCCTTTTGTCAGATTGCTCAAAGTGAAAGCTTTCACAGGGCCTTCTAGACAACATAACTGAAAAACTTTGAGATCTCACTAAGTTCTTGTGGTTATATAGGAGACACTTCAGCGCCAACCTTGTTAATTTGCTTTTTCCCATATAACTCACAGTTTCTCCCTCATTCGATTCTTTAACTTTTCATTTTACTAAATCATGATCAAGTTTAATGAGGATAGATGGGAATGAATGACAGTAGTTGTTAAAGGAATCATATGGTTGCATATATGTGATATAAAAATGTTAACATCCTCGTATTGTTTATATTTATTTGAATCAACTGCTCGGGAAAGTTGGATAATCCTTATGTAGTAAATGTTAAATTGAGTCATAAGCCTGTAGTGGGATGTTTGACAGACGAGAATGAAGTTTTTTTTTTTTTAAAATATATAAAGAAAAAAATATTATGAAAATTAAGGCGGCCGCCAGACATTTATATCATTAAGCACCCTAGGATAACACAATGTAGGTTCAAGTTTGGTTGAATCATGGCCAAGTGTGAAAGGATGGTGCCACAATAGAAAATCAAAACTTAACATAGAAATGTACAATACAAATCAGAAGTAGAGCAAACACAGACCTCCAAAGCATCAGAGGTTGGATCTTGTGCCATAAAGGAGTGAGCATCCCCTGCCTACCGGTCTTACCAACAATGTGCTCCTTGTCATGATCGGGAAATAACGGGAAAATCCGTAGACCAATAAGTGTGTAAATAATGGCACAAACAATCAATATGATAAATGTCAGGCAGAATTTGACTTAATTGTAGGTTGTGTTTGCGGATTGGTCATTGAACATTGTATCGACAATAGAATTATCGAAATGATGACTTCTAATTGAAGTATTTCTCTCCTTAAAGCATTACCTCACAATTTTTTAGTAAACATGTATTAGTATGCATGCATTCAAGAAGTGTTAGTGCAAAATCTTTTTTAAGTTGATAATTTCGAGTAAAAATTTCCCCAGGACAAACAATGCAAGATTTTTCATATTGATGTTTACTATCCCAAGCCAGAGTAAATTCAACTTTAATTTGGTAATGACATTGTTCTGATAGGAATGGATGACGTCATGGTTTAAAAATCTTCATCGAAAACTAAAAACTAAAAACAAAATCATGAAAAATCTGATGAAACATACATGTAAAAGGATCAAAGTGGCTTGTATGAGCGTTTTTGTCTAAGAACCTCTAATGTGACACTTTTGTTTACATTCATATGTACTTTTGCAATTAAGGAAGCTCTAAACATTAACGAAAACTTTTTTTTTTTCAGAGAAAAATATATCATATAAAGATATGCATATTAAAACTTTTTCATTCATTTAGAACATAGGGTACATTGTACATGCCTTATTTGCACAGGAAAAATGTTCAAAGATAATGGACTATTTGTGAGCAGAAATCACTGCTGTTTACTTTCCTTGGGAAAAATAATGAAAATGATTAATTAAACTTTTTACTCTTGGTCTTATATAATGCTAGAAATATTTTAATCTACTAAAAAGTATGTAATTAACGGTAAATAACCATTTCTTTAATATTACATCTAAGGACAGATCACTATAACTGCATAAAACTACCCAATAAATAGAGCTCTTAATGTGCAGTGTTTAGAGCGTCCTTAAAACAAAGAAAATCGCTTTAAATTCTTAACGTAATACCAATGTTTCCCTGATATATGTATTCCAGAAATAGTGTTTGACGCTTTCAAAATCATGCCAAATCCGGCGCTCTCATCTTCAGTCAATATATTTTTTGATTAGAGTGAAATAGTCCTTTGTGAATTCCGCTATAATAGTGTAGGTGTTTCAAAGTGCTCCATTTGATTTCGATTATACAAATCTTGATTTATGGAGAATAAATTTAGCATGGATTCCCAATGTCGCGACAAAACCATTTATTCTTATGAAATATTGCTTACAATGCATGTGTATTTCTTGTTATAAAATGTCAGAATGGTGTCTGCCTTGCATGATTAAAATGGCCAAATATCGCATAACTATCATTTCTTTCTAAAAAAAAATGTATTAGAAATATTGCTGTTTTGATCTAAATGCTTATTTTGAGAAAAAAACATGCCTTAAAAATATATTGTTTCAATCTAAATGCGTATTTTGTAGATTTATTTGCACTCTTATTTTATTGATGTTGATTCGGTGTCGCGATACGAGAAATGATCTAATAATTAGTCTTTATTTTTTAAAAAGACCTATGATTTATAAATGATGGACAGGCTAGCTCTAAATTTCTTATCAATATCATAATCATTGAAGTTAAAAGTTAAATTTATATGAATTTCATCTTTATACTGAAAAAAAAAAAATATACGAGGGAATTCAAAATTACATACTAAACTTTTTTCAAAAACTTTTTAAGCGATATATCATGGAAAAATCTACAATATGAATTTTAGCAAAACATCTGAGTAATCGAAAATCAACAACAAAAATAATAATATAGCATGGTATCTTTAGTCAGATTCATTTTTTAAAATATAAAATTTACAAATTTGGTCATGGAGCTAGTTAATTCTAGTAAATGTAATTGTGTACACTATATTGAGAAAACCCGAATTGTAAGAAAAAATATTCAAGTGAAGCATAGTTCCACCATAAATATATGGAGATAACGAACAGTATTCAAGCAAAACAGTCACCAAAATTGTAGGAAAGCAGAAAAGGACCTCCAAAACTTCAGGGGTGAGATCAGATGCCATGGAGGAGTGAGCAACCCTTCGCGACCAGTCACACCCACGGTGTGCTCCTTGTCATGATCGGGAAATTACGGGAAAATCCATAGACAATTCAGTGTGTTAGTAATGGTCTATCAAATAGTTTAAAAAACGATAGTCAGCATTTGATTTAATGAAAAATTGTATTTGCTGACAAGGTCATTGTATCGACCATAGAACTTACATTTAACATAGCATATTGTGATTTCTAAATGGTTTCATTGAAAAGAAGTCAGTTACAGAGAAAATAGTTGTAGTATTCTTTGAATACTCTCGAAGCACAGAAATTTTGAATATTCTTTGAATGTAGTATTCTTTGCATACACGCGGAGCACAGAGAAATCCAAATGTCGGATTAGGTGCCTAAGAGGAGTGAGCATCCTGACCCGTCACACCCAACGTAATTCCAAAGAATCGATAAAGACTGAGTTATTATTAATATTTTATAGCGACTGGGTAGTATTTTGGAGTATTGAAAGAGAAAAGGGGACCTTAAAGATCCTTGAGCTTGTTATTTTAAATATCAATGTTCTTCATTGGGTATCTTGCAACGAATAGTCGATGATATTGGAACTAATTGCATTGCGCCCTGTTAACAGCAGACCTTCCAAAGTGTAAAACACTTGCTGTGGTCTTCAACTCGACATTAAATCAAATGCATCTATATAAACGAATGTTATCAATAAGCAATGGTCACTTCAGTTCATATTTGGATTCGATATATCCCAGTGATCTTGAAATAAAAAACACCACAGAGTCTGGCGCATCTGTTTTATATTTGAATATTATACTACAAAATAAACGTTAATGGTATCATAACAGCCAAACTTCATGATGAACGTGGTGACTTTTTTCTTTTCTTTTTTTCCCCGTCAAATTCCGTTTTCATGTAGCAATATATGCATATCATCGTTAGATGTATATGAGGTTACATCTCCAAGTTTATTCAAGATGCAAGAGGAAGCACTACATACGAACAACGTTTAAAATTACGCAAGCTAATGACAATCAAGTTAATGAATCATGGATTTTCGGCAGTCTCGTTTAAAGTCATTATTAAGAAATTTGTATCGTCGAAACGATGTCATTGTTGGCAATTTCAATCAATAATCAAGTTGAATACTGAGGGGTTTTCCATTCTAATCGTTAGGCCACAGTTGACGCACTAACAAGTTGCACACAGATTTGTAAACACCATGAAAATCATACAAGCTATATTGTTTCAATCGTTGAGTCACGAAAAGACACAAGCAAAAGGAAAACAATGAAAATGTAGTAAACTGAAAAATCAATATTTTGGTTTTTGGATATTGATTTTATATTTCATTAATGAGACAGGACTATATTTTATATTTTCCTCGTTCAGCAAATTTATCAAAAACTTCTCCAGTTCTGAAATTTTATATCCAATTACAAAAATACTTTTCCCTCTATCCTCTTTTTCTCTCTTTATTTCACTCACTGATAATTATTTTAAGATGATAACCCTGGTATATTAACCATGAAATGTCACTTGAAATGTATACATTCTTGTCTCTTGAAAACAAATATCACGGATATTGCTATGGGTTCTGGTTTGCAAGGCTTTGAATGATAAAAGAAAGAAAAGATCGTTTTCATCATTAACAATTTCTAAAACAAGGTAGGTTATTGACAGGAAAGTTGATGAAACAAAAATATCAGCAGTCTCACGTGAAGTCATTATTTTGTAAAATTAATGGTAGATACAATTACCTTGTTAGCCAAAACAATTTATGAATTAACTCTTTATTATCTCTCTTCATTGAGTGACCAGGTTTTTATGTGAGTAAAAATAATAAAAGGCAAAGAAAAATTATGGTCAATACTTTTCAATACTTATTTTTTCAATTAATAAAAAAAGACTCCAGGAATAAGTCCACTAATGAAGGCAGCCTTTGATTTAATTTCTTTGGTTCACCAGAAAAATAATATACAAAGCTTTTCAATGGACACTAATGTTTTACATAAGATAAGCAAAACCGAGTCTCCTTGCACTCATGAAAAAGAAATCAAGAAATATTTGAAATCAAATAGGAAGCATATCACACTAAACTGATATAGAAGTATTGAATGCTACTATTTTGAGACATCTCTCAGAAAATAATATGATTGTATTCACAATCATCGATGATCATTATCATGACCATGGGTTATAAAAGTCGAGATTGTGGTCAGTGAACTAACATATCAATAAAAATCATATTTGTAGACAACGTCACAAAATTTACTACCCGTAAAACAAATGAAAACTGCAGCACAAGTAAATTACATCGAATCAACTTGAGGTATTTTAATCATAAGTTAATAAGAATACATGTTGTTCTTAAATTAAATGATCGATACAACAGGATATGTATCTATTTTCAAATTTGTGTTTCGGCTGACTCAATGCTCCATCATTTTCTAGATGAAATATGTGGATGTTAATTTCATAAAGTGTTGAAGATCTCAAGAGATTTGGTAACCTATAACCGACATGATAAATTGCAAAACAGGTAACTTCCAGCAGTTTTGCAAACTAATCACCATATAAACCCGCTATTAACATATTTTACTTGTGAAAGGCATTTTTGAATTTGAAAATAAAAGCTTGTATTATCATGATTACATCGCTTTACTGTTTGACCTTAGATCCATGATAAAAAAACCTATGACGGAATACTAGATTAAATGATGCCATTTTTTTTTTTATATTGATCGGGTCCGATAGCAACCCACGGAAAAGACTGATATGGAAGCACTGATGGCAGAATCAGAGAATTAATCAAACACATGATTGGACATTTACAGAAACACTAGTGACAAATTTAGGCCAAGGGTCAAAGCTTTAGAGGAATTAAAAACATCCGGAGGGAAAAAAATGTATTGATTATAAAGCATGATGTTTCATAGATTGGATTAGAAAAGAAGTGTATAGACACCGTCTATTATCATCAAAATCTCATTTGTGCGAGATGCTTTCTTACGGAAGGGTTTGCTCTACCGGAAATGCCGTAATACGCTTTCCAGCAGATGTCGTAATTTTACGGCACAATCGTTAGTATACAGATAGCTCTGTCGTATAGACTCTCTAAGCATCCTAGGAGAGATGATAACCGCCATCGAATTGTTTATTAAACCACTGATAAGAGAATGCCAGAAAAGGATTGCGTCATTTGAATTCAACTTCACAGGTAGGAGATTTTCAAAATTAATGAGTTTAACACTTAAAAATTGATTAAAAAATTCAAAAATATTTTTTGTCTGCTTTTTTCATCATTACCACGAGATAGAATATTATTATTTGATTTTTAATATTATTTTAAAATATGGATATTCACAATCAAATTCGTAATCAAGTTAACATTAAAAATGTAGATAAAGAATAGCAATCCTTTTTCTTCTGACCTTAGGCAGATGGGGATAATACTGGGCGACCTCGAATAATTTATTGTGATGGAAAAGAAAGAAAGAAAAAATTAAAAGATGCGTAAAGGCTCAGTTATTCACTATACTTAATAGCACTTACTTAAGCATAAAAATTCACCATTCATTTATCATATATATGTGTACTTATATGATTTTTTGGGGGAATTATCTTATTGAAGAAAGACGACGTGGATTTAGTACGTGTTTCATTTTTTTTTATTCTTATAATTGAAGATATACTTTGATGATAAACCTTCCTTTTGGTATTTGTATCTGGTAACTGACGTATACCGGGGTAATTAAAATTTATAATAATTCTTTAAAAATGTCGGCACCCGATTCCACCTCTGATGTTTTAAAAGTCCTTGTTTGCGCTGCTCAAAGATATCTATTGTTGAATGGACTTCTAAGCTTGAATACTGCTCGTTATCTTCATATATTTCATGACAAAAGTCTAAAGAATATTTGACAAAAAATGCTCCTTTTATTATAAGTTGCAATATATTTAAAAACAAATGCGCCCGGTATTTGATTTTTTATATATATTATTTCACACTTTATTCACACATTTTTTTATTTCACACTTTAATTCATCCATTTAACAGCTTTTTTTCTATTCTACGAGACATACTTTATCTAGGGGTCGTACATGTAACATAAAGGGTACTTAAAGAGGCTGGGTGGTTGTGGCCATTTTTAGACTATTTTGATCTCCTTTAGAAGAAGAGCTCCATATAAAGATATAACAAAATGATCAAATTTTAAAACTAAAATTTATGAAATTTTTCTTTGCCAAATGATTGTTGACAGCTCGTACATATCACAAAATTTAAGTATATCAATAAAGGAATAATTTGTACCCCCTTAAATACTTATGTTACGACCCCCTGATTTGTTTTCAGAATAGTGCTTGGGGCATATATCTATTTGTGATTTCTTTTTAATGTCCGAGTTCCGGGCTTAAGGAAACCTTTGCAACGGAAACAATTTTTTTTTGCCATATTATATATATTTTCTACCTATCGATTGTTGTTTCACATCCCATTCGAGAAGACTTTACTTATATCGAGACTCCTCCATACATGTATATCGGTGAATTTCCACAAATTCTGATCTTTACCCGTCTCTAACGGCCATTCAGCTGTAAGGTCTCATCCGAAAGACCCGCAACTTTCACTACAAGGTGCCGAGCACATAACAAAGGAATAGTTACTACATTTTTTAACGACATAGGTCAGTCACGGCCGAGATTCGAACTCACGACCTTCGGAAGACAGACTGAGCGCTCTAGCGACTTATTTTCTATCTATTAATAAATAAAGAGGAAATATACAACTTCATTTAATTATTGATTGATTGTATCTTGTTTAACGTTCCTCTCGAGAATTGCTCTGCACTTAGGGCCCTTGAGCAGGGAGGGAGTTTTTTCGTGCCAGCACCTACTGCCACAGCATTCGGCATTATTTCAGTGATATCTGTACGTCTGTTAAGCGGTCTTTCACAATGTGTGTAAGACATTCTTTTTCTGCACGATCTCAAAATGCCCGAGAACTGCGGTACTTAATAACGTTGCAAGTTTTTGTTGCATTTTATACTTTAACAATTACTTTTACGAAAAAACTATATCATTTTGCCCTGCAACAAGAGGTTTCTATGGCATTTTATACATGAAAACCTCTAACAGGAGGTTTTTAGCTCTAAAAGACCTATATTTTTTTTTCAAATTATAGACAGCTGCTTTCTTAAAAAATAAATATAGAATTTGTAAATATAATCTGCTTACCTTGTCATTGATAATTTTCAAAATTATTGTGTTAAAACATTCCAATTGTACACACAAGTATTCAAAAGTTAAAATGAAAATGATGCTTGAGTCTATGATTGACAATATCTATCTAAATTTTAGAGATCAGGTCTTCCAACATTCTGTTAGAATACCCATAGTTACCAATTGAAACCCGTTTAATATTTATCAGACATATTTTTATATTCTTGTGAAGCATGTATTATACAAACAGTCTACATATAAGACAAAAAAAACATATACCGTGGCCTTCAACTTGACATTTAGCTATATCATCCACGTATTATCAATCAACAATATTTACTATCATTCATATGTCGATTTTTGCCTACTCATTATATCACAGTGATTTGTAAATAAAGAAACCACGGAGTCTCACAAATAAGATAAACGTGACGACTTCCTTTTTCCATTCGTCAACTCCAATTACTTATGTAGCAAAATACATTAATTTATGACCTGCACAAGGGGGTTATGTCTGTAAAAAAGATGGAGATAAAAGATGGAGTATTCAAGCTCAAAAGCCCATAAAACAATACCAAATAAGCTCAGAGCAAAAACGTCCCCCAAAACATCAGAGATGGGATCAGCTGTTATTGAGAAGTGAGCATACCAGGCTGAAATTTATGACACAAGAATAGCAACAGTTTTGTTTGAAGTCATCCTTGCGACCAGTTTTTTTTTGTTAATATAATGACTCACATACATCCTTACTTCGAGACAACTGCTGACTGATGTTTTTCATACCAACGGATACTCCGTCAGTTACACACTAAATTGTTCATTCTGGCGTTATATAATTTGATCACGCGGCATATTATGTCATATCTCAAATAAAACTAAAAAAACGATATTTTAGTTCATGTGACCTACTCGGACTTTGTGTTACTACAACGTCAAATAACGTCACAATCAGAACTTTCCAAATGTTTCGCGCAGTTTGCTTTACATAACGATACTCGTAAAGTCTGATCATGTGACCTACTGCGAGTCATTAAATTTCATTGAAATTGAATTTCAATATAAAAGTATTGTCATATAAGGAAAGACGTCGACAATTGTAAATATATTCTTAATTGTTTTCGTTTTTTTTCTCTCGATTATAACAAGCAGCATTTGGCGACTGTGACCAGTCGGCAGGGGATGCTTATTCCTCCATGTCACATGGTCTGCATAGCACCTGTATTACACGTTCGTGTTTGCTTGGCTCCTGATTTGTATTATTTGAATGGACTTTTGAGCTTGAATACTGTTCGTTATCTTCATATCTTTCATGTTAAATGTTAAAATAATTTCAAGCATATCTGTTATGGTACACATTCAAATGCGGATAATACATCAGAAAGGCTCCCTACGTCATTTACAGTAATTTTTTTCGCAAAGTATTTGACGCTTTATGGCCTAAAAGGATGTTATGTGCATTAGGTCATATGGAGTAACTGAAGGTAAGGAATTTATATTGCACTGATTGTCTTTCAGGTCGAAAGATGAAAAGCCAAGCTTAATTTTGTACTCCCTGCTGCATCTACATATTTTTTCAGTCGTCATGCCCTCTTAAGTTATTTAAATTAGAGAAATAACTTTTAATTATATTCTTCTTCGGAACATACAAATAAAATTCAGGAAAGTCGGTTACGTTAATTTTTCCTCAGAATATCCTAGCCCTGCTATGTTTTTAAAACAATAAGCATTGGCTTATTGTTAAAGGAATTCGAAACGGCATGTTTATGAGACAGTTTACATGCTCCGAACTGACTTTCTTAAAAGTCTTTATCACAAATTAACCAGACCTTTTGCACAAGGATGAGACATTGATTTCCAAGAATGTAATTACAGGCGACGTTTGGAAATTTAGACTTAATAACTCAGTATATATCATTGACACGGAACAAGTTAATTAACATTCCTATCATCTTGTACATATTATTAATTTCTTTATCCCCGTAAGTTCATAAAACGATTGGATTTTTTTCTTGCGAAATAGACAAATGGTCCTGTTGGAAATAGATTTTCTTATCATCAAGGATATCTAGTGCTTTTTGATTAATCATTCACAGCTTCAGTTCAAGCGATTTCTCTGAAATTATAACCTTAGCGTAATATACTAAGGGACTCATTAATTGCACGATCTCTTAATTATATATAAATGACACAATACAAAGTCAAATAGGTTACAAAAAGTATGAATAAACTTAATTACATGTATATATAAATGACAAAATGCAAAATCAAACCGGCTACAGAAAATGTAAATGATCTTAAAATATACAAATGACACAATGCAAAAATCAGATAGGCTACGGAAAATGCAAATGATGCTCTCTGTTACAGTAAAATACAATTTTTATATTCTCTATTGACTCATATGAGAATAAAAAAAATATTTCTCCCCATTCATAAATGCGGATGAACGTGTACATCATTCTAAATCAGTAAGCATAGTTAATCCTTGAGGACATTGAATATTTGTCATAGGATCGATTGTTTTTTATTTTTAATATTCTTATGCATTACTCGTGTTACGCTTACCCTTGAGATACAGAAAAAGAATGCCATCAGCAAATCACTTAATACCAATTTGTCTATGAAGTCCTTGATGCGTCATACTACTACTGCACGATGACATCATTTGCAGATATGAAATATACAAGAGATAACGAACAGTAGTCAAGCTCAAAGATCCATTCAACAATGCAAATTTTGGAGCAGAGCAACAAGAATATTCTAGAACATCAGAAATGGGATCAGGTGCCATGGCTAAACGAGCATCCCCCGCTAACCGGCATTTTACAAATAAATATGTAATAATGTAATATTTCTTCGCTTTATACAAAAGGAACACTTCATAGGGGACAGAAGGCATTGAATTTATCTGCATTTATTATTTATCATACAACTATCGAAATAAAGACATTTAACAAAACTGTTAAGATTTTTGCTTTACCAAATTGTTTGTCAATAGCTTGCCTCATTTTACTTTATACATAGAGCACAGGTATCATTTAAACTAAAAGATATTAAACCTCATATCCTGGTGACGAGGGTATATTCCTACATAGATAAGGTAATTGACGATTGAAAATTGAAGTCATCACGTTTATCACGAACCTTTATTCCTAGGTTACAGATTACCATTAACGTCTTTTTCTAGTAAATTAGTCATAATTATATGAAACAGTTGTGTCAGATTCTGTGGTATCGTTTATTTTTAAGATTGAGCTCATAGATATTTATCGTGTGAACAAATGGAAGTAACTATTGTTGATTGAGAATTTTTACATCTAAATGTCACATCTTTTATTACTCTCATGTATAAGAATTCAAAATAAATTCTACTTTATATGAATACAAATTGAGGCGTGTTAATATGTTAACAACCAAACGCAATTGTTACCCGTGGAAATTTCGACAGATTGTAAGCAGACCTGGTCTGCAAAACACATAAATATTATCAATAAGAAATCCAACCATATTCTTATTATCAACCTCAGAGTACTTTTGAGAACAATCAGAATGTTTTTAAGAGTATGATTCTGCTAATGACCAGGAGAAGATAATTAAAACTAGTTCCATTAAAAAAATAGCAGCAGTCAATGATGTTGGAAATTTTGAACTTTAATTCATGTTGGGTACTGGTTTTACATAAAGTTGAAAAGTCTTAAGTTTTGTCGAATTGATTTCTGTACTTTTTTGTGGTTTCAAATTATATTATCCAAAAATCAATTGGAATTTTGAGTATCCACTTCTTATTAAAGTACATCATTTCTCGAGTTTTTAATGAAGTAGGACTGAAGTTTCTCCTTTGCTGCTGCTAATATGTTAGTGAGAACTAAAGAGAGAGGCTTGGTAAAAAAATTCTGGAGCCGGCAATCTACCTTATTTTGTAAGGATATTTATGAAGTTTGGGACTCCATCATAAGGATTCCATATATTGAAAAGAGGTGTTCGAAGGGCTTCAGCAATGGAATTGGTTTAAACACACTTTGAATATTTTATAGACCATTGAATAAAAAAGAAATATCCAGCTTTTAAGGACATAACGTTGTTTAAACTTTCTTGTCTTTTTGTTGAAGGGTTCCAAAACTGAAAGGAACTGTGTGCTACATTTAATTACCTATATATATTGTGGTGTATACAAAACAAATTTGGATGAAAAAAAAACATTTAGAATAAATGTTGGGCTATATTTGTATATTATTCTTTGAATTAAACAAAGTGTATCATTGATTAATATTCTTTTCAAAGCCCCTGTTAATACATGTTGATTTTTTTTTGCCTATGAATATCTGATGGAACTATTATCCTAAGATAAAAATATATTGAAAAATGATCGGTAGGAAAGGTATGATGCGCATGTCCTTAAAGGTAATATTAAGTTCACTATTAAATCCTTACGGTGGGTGTGACCGGTCAGCAGGGAATGCTCACTCTTCCATGGCACCTGATCCCACCTCTGATGTTTTGGACGTCCGCGTTTACTCTGCTCTAATTTTGTATTGTTTTATGGACTTTTGATCTTGAATACTGTTCATTATCTCCATATGTTCCTTTATTGAATTTTTACCTGTTACTCCAGCATGCTTTTTTTTTATCAATATTCTCACTTTTGTCCGAAAGCTACAAATATTGTTTTGTTACATATTATTGTTAACAGTTTATTGAAAAAAACCTGAAGCTCAAAATATGAACTTAAAGAAACTAATATGCTTTAAAGATATATAAAAAGGAATATTTTATTTTGATAAAAGTATATATGTATACATTGTGCAGAAAAAAATGTCTAATTCGAATAAATATTTTGCAATCCCAAATTTCGCTTAATATGATGTCAACTTTTAGTCTTGTTCAGTGTATTAATTTGTTTAAAGTGTTGTCTAATGCATAAACAGCAATATATTTTTTGAAACCATTATTTGACCAGATAACACAGTATTTACTCTGTATTTATATACACGAGTTCCAATCTCCGCCATTTTTCTTGACTCAATAATTCTTGCATAATATTATATATTGGATGTAAAAAATGAGATGACAGTTCTCCAAGTTAATTTTCATTGCTGTATTCTGTGCAAACATTATCAGTGTTTAAGATCAGAGTGCATATGCTTCAGGTAATATTTATTGGTAAATGCACTATAAATTGATTGAAAAACGAGAATGTGATATCTATTTATTTGTTTTATGTGCATTGATGCATTTGCACCATAATTCCATAATGTAATTAATGTTTATTATACAATTAGGTTTGTTCATAGAGATTGGCAAGCAATCACTTTAATTTTGCGTTGCATAGCAAGGGCAGATTTTTGAATTGAAGATTTAGCTTTTTCCGGTAATAAAACACATACAATGTTAACTGACTTTTTAATTCCCATTTTTTTTTAGGTGGCGTATATTGTAATGGAACCGTTGATGATTTTGGGGGTTGCTTCAATGTTACAAAGGCAGGACAGACGGAAAAGATACAATGTCCATTTTTCTTCAACAAGAAAGGTACCAAAATCTATATCATGGCATAGAAAACTCAATTTTTTACAACTTTATTATGTGACCTGAGCAACTGCTCACCCATGTAAACGTTCAAATAATGTAGTTTATTTATGTATAATGTTACAAAAACTTTCTTCGTCAAGCTTTATAATCAAAGTTTTCTTTTACGAATATTTTTTTTTGAATGTATAACAAACAAAAAAAAAAAAAAAAAAAATTGAATTCAGTATTCATTTCGCTGGATATACATGCATATACATCTTAATATTTAGTAATTTGAACTGTTTACATTAAAGAATGATAAAAAATATACATGGTTGAAAATTTTGAAATACAATACAATTGCTGATATCACATTACGGAAATTAATAGGAAATTCATGCTGTTTTGATTATTATAAAACGTAACATCATCATTCGTAGAAGGTGGATTTAGGCTGTTATTATGATAGCAATTATTAAATTTTTTCCCCTTTAATTTCGTTAGTTATTCTCTACATAAGACCGTTATTAATATGTGAAAAGGAAGGAAGAAAAAATATATAACAAAAATTGTATTGACGTTATTCAAAGTTGTAACTGAAATAACAATTAGTCTGTATAATTTCAATTTGAATTGTTTAAGGTATACTTTTTTGATAGAGTTCATTTTTGTTAAACTTTTTCTGTAGGTAAATTATCTCATTTTAATTTCATAATTTCTGTAATTTTACTTATTTCGTACTTTGTTTATTTTAAATCAATGCCTTTATTTCCTTTCTAAATAAACTGATAAAAACCTAACATGCGCCTTGCTGGTCGGTTAATTACATTATGAAGACACGAAATGAGATTATTAAAACTAACTTTTAAAAAATCTGAAAATGTCAATATCATCTAAGATATATACTAAAACTTTTTTTCTCAAACCTTTGAATATTTTTTTCAAAGAATCCATTAAGGCAATTCCAGCCAAATTTTAAACAAGGTGCATAACTGAGACGGAATCAATTTGATCGTACATTGTATGCTGTGTTTACGTCCCGTTCTAGATTTTTCCATTATTAAGGGATGTCACCATGTTCCGGTGAAGGGCTTCAAATTTAGAAAAATTTTGAGATCATCCATGTGAAATTAGGCGGAACAATGCAATATCTTATGTTTTCTTGTTAGGTTACATAGGGAGCTAGGGTTTGCCAAAGCTGCAGAACTGTAGTTCTCTGCTCGAGAAAATTCGGACGGATAAAACAGATCCATGCGTTGTTACGACCTTCGATTTTTTGTCGCCGATTTTTTGTCGCTCACTTCATGTATTATTTCTTATATATTATGTTTTCCCCAGCTTCATATATGATATCCGATGCGTAAATCGGAGGTTTTTTTTACAACGCATGGATCTGTAACTTTCTGCTTTATCTGTCCGAATTTTTTTCAAACAGAGAGCTATATTTCTGCAGCTAGGGTTTGTCACTGTAATGAAGAAATAGTTATGCTGATAAATCATATAAAATTTTCTTTTCTCTTTATAAAGATGACTTTTGGCAAAATACTTATTTCTAAACCTTACTTCATATTATATTTATATTTCTTTTTATCATTTCTTAGGTTTTGTATATAAAACGTGTTCAGCGAATGGAGAATGGATGAAAACTAACTATCAGAATTGTAGAAATCTAAATTTTGTAAGTTGAACATTTCACCTATTAATTTTACCATTGGCCATGCAACTTTGTTTTCAAGTACAATCTATTTTTTTTTTTTTGCATGAAGCACAGATTTTTGTTTTATATTTGTTATCAAACATTTTTCATGTACATTGATGAACACAATCTCAAAAACGCTTAACAGTTTTCACGAAGTACACGCAACAGTTACTTTTTTGAATGTACGAAAAACTTTGTGTGAAATACGGATCACTGTGACCGGTCGGCAGGGGATACAGACTCCTTCCTGGCACCTGATCCCACCTCTGATGTTTTGGAGGTCCGTATTTGCTCTGCTCCTATTTTGTTTTATGGAATTTTGAGCTTGAATGCTATACGTTATCTCTGTATATTTCATACATTAATACAATAGACCAATGACATGAGATTGTTTCAACATTGTTTTCTTTCAATCAGATGAAAATTCCTGTTTAATGTAAACTCAGTTTTCTTTATAAAAAGCCACTTTAAGTCAATTTGGTAAAAAATATTAGTTTTTCACATAACATACACAGCAATATCACATATTATATACCTTAAGTGATATTGCTAGAAGTCCTTTTGTCTTCTTTTGTATCCAGAAAGAACCTTTCAATAATATTATATTACAGTCATCAATATCACAAGAATAATGAACAAATTCATTCATTTGGAAATGTTATTAGTATCTCAATGACCCATCACACACAATTGTTGAACTCTTAATAACCTTGGTTTTCCTTAAGGATGATAACATGTCCTTAACAAAGGCTGGGTTATCGTTCTTCGCAGTGAATGCCTGTTTAGTTATAATTAAGACAAACATTACCTGAAGGAATATAATAAACCGTAGGCAGAAAAGAAAACAACATGTGCAATAATACTCAGTGGTTTTGAAGATTTTTATATATGAACAGCTATATACAAAAAAAAATCTTGAAATGCAAAATAAAAGAATATTTAGATTTAGTAAGGGATTAAACATGTGTAAGGAAACATTCCATAACATAAAGATAGCTAAAATGATTATCAATTTCAATGGAGACAATAATATTTCTCAGAGGGTTTAAAATGCAGTGTGGCTTAATAAATGTGTTTGAGAGTTCTAAACAAGAAGCATGAAATAGTCATCAAAATGAAAATTTATTGTTATAATGATGGCATAAATAGCGTGCCCGGTGTAATTTTTATTTTCTTCAAATAGGATCGCGTGCCCGATTTCATTTTTATTTTCTACCAATAGGAAGAAGACGAAGCTATGGCTCCTGTTTATGTCTTTATCGGAGGATATGCTGTATCCATCATTCTCTTAACACTATCACTCTTCATTTTCTATTATTTCCCGTAAGTATTCAGGCAATACTGCGATAAATGGAACGTGCCACTGCATGAAGACTACGGTCTTTGTGGAAGGAAAAATGATAAAAGAAAAAGATATTTCTATGCTAAATCAAAGCACAGTGTTATGTATATATACAACAAAATCAAACACAAACGAGTTTTTTTATATGCTTACAAAAAGTCTGATAATACCACATGGCCAAATATCTTATACAAAATCAGATGCGTAGTTTACAAAACAAAGTTTACATTGACCAATTGCAATATTATCAAACGTGTAATTTCACTAAAGATTTCATGATTCATAGACATATTTCATAAATAACATAAAAGGCCTACATTAGGTAGTTATTTTAATCACAAAATGAAAGAATTTACAAAGAACTGTATTTATGTGAGATAATTAATTTGAGAGAAAGCAAAAAATCTAAACGATAAATATACCTGTGTATTTATTTATCTATATTAGAAAATAATTTTTATTTATCATTTAAGTCAGCTACAGTGTGGACGAGTGACCATCCATAAAAACCTCTTTCTGTCCTACATCTTAACTGGAATCACGTGGATTCTCTATTTCGTTGTGGTCACATTTGACGGAGATGTGCTTCTAAGAAATCCGGTCTGTATACATGTAACATACGAGATGATAATACTGAATATGATACTTGTTGGAAATGTATTTTATGCCCTCGCATAAAAGATTCTGTGGAATATAGTTTTTGACCTGTCTCAGGCTGTCTGTCAATCTGTCTATTTGTTTGTTAATCTGTTTGTTCAAAAATATGCACAAAAAGCATTGCTTTTGTTTGTTTGGAGCTATATTTCTTAAATACCAATTCTGTATTTGTTTTAACTAGGCCTTTCTTTGCGTATCAAAGTATTTGAAATCGTGACCTCGAACTTGGATTTCGACCCAATTAACCTAATATTAACCTTTGTCAAAACGTTTGAGCAGTTGGTGCAAGGGCTTTGATATTTCTTATGGCAAGGTCTTTCCGGATACCTTTATTTCAACCCTTTCACCTTGTACTTGGGTTTGAATTTAGCGTTTAAAAAAAACAAACTTTAACGTTGACTTTAACTCTTTAATTGTAAGTGTTTTTGGCTTAGATATTTCAAAGGTATATTCAAGAAGAAGATTTTTAATCTCTTAATCTGATCTGGTCTTTAACTTGAATTTTGAGAAACTTAACCTTCAACTAAAGTTGACATACGGTGGGCATCACTGGTTCACAAACGCATCTTCCTTTTGATTTTGACAATCAAAATTATGTAAAGTGAAGTCTTTGAATTCAACTCCGACTTGCAGATCAAATCAAACCGTGTTTTTCAAATGTAATAAATGTCGATGAAGGGATACACAATACTGATTCGTAAGTGCAGAAATGATTTAGAAATCTGAAGACGATGATAATATGGTACATGTATCTTACTTGGAATTTAAAAAAAATTGTTCAAAAATGATATGCTTAATATCAGATATTTGAAGGCTATGTTAAAGAACAAGTCCATTATATTTTACTCATTCTCTTACTGATAGTGCAGTGAACTTGTTTTTAAGGAAAACAGATAGAACGGATGGATGTGAAATATCTTTTATAAGGAAACTAAATCTTTTCTCCATCTGTGAAAGAAATGTATTTCTTAATCAAATATATGGATTTTCAGTTTTTCTATTAATATTATAATAAAATAACCCGGCAATTTTTTTTTATGATTAAGCAAGTTACCGTTGTAGTAAGATATTGACATTTCTGTCCATTTTACAGGCTTGGTGCCAATTACTTCATGTAATTACGAACTTTTGTATGGTATGTAATTACTTCTGGATGTTTTGTGAAGGTTTCTATCTTCACACCATCCTACTAAGAGTATTTGGTACCGGAAGGAGGCTAATTGTCATGTGTCACGTGACCGGATGGGGTATTTCAATATTTTATGAAACTTAATCAGTTAATCTTGAATTCAGAATAACGCTAAATCTTGCTATGAATTTTATGTTGGAAAAAGATTCTAAAACTAATATTTCAACATGTACTGCATTTCATGAGCACATTATTATATAAAATTTATAATATTATTTTGATGTAAACTCCTATTTTTTATTTCTCTAATAATAAACCTATCATTTTTGATAATCCTTAGTATTTCCAATCATACCCACTGCAATTTATGCCACGATACGAAGTTCGGATCCATCAAAAAGTATAAAGTAAGTTTTCCTAAACATACAATAAAGTTAAAAAAAATCATTTCAAAGCTCTTTTGATTGAAATAAGACCTATTCCCAAACATCCAATCTGCGTAAAAATATATAAATTTTTAGCTACTCTATCGAAAGGGCTGTTCGTTCAAATACATGTAGCTATATGCAATTTGCAAGCCTTTAATAACTATCAAAATTACTCTTCTTGACCTCATTATTGCCTCATTATTACCTGTTTGCTAGGTGTTGGAACCCGTATAGTGATTACCTATGGATAATATATGGACCCATTATCGGATCACTTCTGGTGAGCTTTTCTCCCCATAGATATCTTTGTTGTCTTTAATATTCGGTTTAAGATTCATGATCACACAAGATAGTTCTTAACACATTTTGGATGATAAAAATATCGAAATTATACCTTAAAGCATAAAAAATTAATGGATATTTTTTAGAGACCTTTAATGATCGAATAACGAGAGTATTTTCAATTCAGATCATAGGTAGTAATGTTTCCGAACTATAACTGTTATTTTCAAGTTCAAACAAAGCAAATGTTCTTTCAAGGAAGAAAAAATAATCCAGTAAGAATATTAATTAAGAAAAGACTCTAAAATTACTTTTTCTCATTTGAAGTTAATGACTATTCATGATTTTAATCCTTAATCCCGATGTTGGCTTTGATTTTTTTCAGAAACCATGTTTATTAAAGGTAAAATACAAATGGTGTTAATTTTTTTCCAGTTAAATGCATTTTTTCTAATCAACATTGTTCGGTTGCTAATGACAAAACTGAAAAGAGTTCCAGAGGCTGCTCAAACAAAGTAGGTGTCGTTTTATAATATTTAATTAAGAAAAGATACATATATTTAACAAAAGTGTCATTGTCTGCAAGTCTGCAGGAGAAATAACACTATATGGAATACGTTATCATAAATTTCTTTGTTAAAATGCTTTTGAAATTATTCAATTTCAGTCAAATTCCAATTTTTGTGCTACAACTTTTGTGTACATGTAGTACTTCAAGTTAAAAGTTTTTATTTGAAGAATAGACATTAAGAAATAATAGAAATTTATGTCTTTTTTTTTCAGGAAAGCAGCCAAAGCTACATTGGTTTTAATACCGTTACTCGGTCTTCACAATCTTCTTTTACCTGTTCGACCAGATGATGGTTCTTCAATGGCGGAAGTGTATACTTTCCTAATTGCAATTTCTTTGTCTCTTCAGGTATACCTCGAAGCATACGTCAATGCTTGACCACGTGATTTTTAAAGTTTCAATTTTATTTAAGAAAAATCTAATCAATTTTATTTTTACAATTTTCTTTATTATTATAATATTTATTTATTATTTCTTTATAATTATAGTTACAAAATTATATATGTAAGAATAACATGTGGTTCTTTTCATTGCAAAGAATTTACTAGAAATTAAAGTTTCAATTTCATCTAAGAAAACATATAAATGAAATATAACACGTTTCGTTATTATCTAATATTTATTTTTCATTTCTTTTTTTAATCATAATTACATGTACAAAATGATATATGTGAGGGTTACCTGTTGTTGTTTCATTGCAAAGAGTTTACTAGTACTTCTGTTTTCAGGGATCTTTTGTTGCGGTTATCTTCTGTTTGTTTAATGCTGAGGTAAATATATCACATTCAAGGCCAATGACTGTATAGTATTCTACAGTTTACTGATTTATCTTTAGCCCATGTATACAATAATTTCTTCAGAATACTGCTATCACCGTACTTTTTCTATAAAATGCAACATGACAAAGTACTTCGACCGAAAAGGCAGGAGGTTAAAATGTAAAGATTGTGAGAAATAAAAATAATTTGCCCACTTAAACTTCTGCTTAAATATGATTATTAAAGAAAAAGGGAAGCAAATGGGGTGTTAAAGTAATAGATATAAATTTCTTATTCCCAGTTTCATATTTTTAAAATCAAGGTTACAACGGTATTAAAGAGGAAATGGCAGCAGCACATGTTAATGAGAGGAACAACCTGTATTAAAATAGGAAGTACTCACATCACTTCCTACTCTATGACGGAGAATGGACAGGCGGACGTCATCACCGATAATATGACGGAGGTACTATAAAAAGAATATATATGTACCTCTTTCTTACTTAATGGTGCAGTACTATTGTTCTTAAAAAATAATGTATAAGACAATTTAGAACGCAAAGTTATGAAATATTTGGATATGACGAACAGTATTCAAGATCAAAAGTCCATTAAACAATATAAAACAGGAGCAGAGCAATCACGGACCTCCAAAACAGCAGAGGTGGGATCAGTAGTGGGATCAGGTACCATGGAGGGGTGAGCATCCTCTACCGACCGGTCACATCCGCCGTGTGCTCCTTGTCATAATCGGGAAATAACGAAAAAATCCGTTGTCAATTCAGTGTATAAGTAATGGAGTAACAATAAGTATGAAAAACGTCAGTCAGCATTTGACTCAATGATAAATTGCATTTGCTGACAAGGTCGTTGTATCGACCATAAAACTTTCGAAATGATAACTTTAAACGAGACTGCTGAAATTCTTGCTTTATCAACTTGTTTGTCAATAATTTACCTCGTTTTAGAAATTGTTCATACGTAGAGCATGCTCTTGCGTATCGAATTAACTGAAATGTATAAAATCCGTATGCAAGTGGTGAAGGTATATTGTTACATAAGTAATTAGGGAGATACTGATAGAAAAGTTAAAGTCATCAGTGCTTATCATAAAGCTTGGTTGTTAGATTACCATTAACGTCTTTTTCAAGTAAAATATCCAAATATGAAACAGATGTGTCAGACTCTTTGGTATCAAAAATTAAAATAGAACTTACTATATGTTCAATGCGGGATAAATTTTGCGTTAAATCATTCTTTGAGATAATCATTATAATAGAAAAACCAATAACTGACTGTTTTCATTCTTAAAGATATTGAACTACAAGAATATTTTCATCTGACCAAATTAAAACAACTGAATATTTTTGTGTTGATCTTTAACACTGTTTAAAACTACTGAAAAAATGCTGACATTTTCTTCTTTTCAATATATTTGTAGGAATCCAGAAAGAATCGCCCTGTGAATGTTTAAACACTGGCCGCCATGAAATGATTGGTTATTATGAAAATCTGTGTGTGAAATATGTCCTTATGTATTCAAATTATTTTTTGTTCCTGTTGACTCGGTTACCAAACCTAAAAGAGTATGTTAGAAATATGGAAGGACTGGATGGATACTTTAAAAATGATGTCGCTATGTATAAACACCAAAACTCATTATCAAAATCCATGACATGCCATGTACCAACCTTTGCCTTGTTTTGGTCGACTGTCTCTCAAGTATTATGCGGACGTTAGACTTTAGCTACAACACATAATTCAAGACAAAAACAAGATGCTCCCAAATTTTTTCTTGTCCTTTATCAGTCTTAAATAACGATTTTATAGTATAACATTGTAAACAGGAATTAACATTATTCTGGGTTAACTGGACATGAAAAAACTATATTTAAAATAAAATAAAACGTTTTATACGATTCAAAAGATTTTGAATGATTCAGTAAGGTAAACAATATCTGATATAGAGACCGTTGGTCCTACATTTAGTTGAAATAAAAGACATTTCGATGAATAAGATTTACTGAAGGAAACTTGATGTTAAGATCAAATAGAAAGATCTTTTGGAATATACACCATTCAGATCAGACAAGCTTCACCGTGTGTACAATTTTGAGTAGAGTAAACACGAACCTTTTAAATTTCGGAGATTTTATTAAGTGCCATGGAGGAGTAAGCATCCTCTTCCGACCTGTCACACCCGCCCCTTGGTTCCTCATCGGGAAATAATGGAAAAATCTGTCGACAATTCAGTGTTTCAATAATGGCCTAACAATAAATATGGAAAAAGCCAGTCAAGATTTGACTTATTGATAGATTGTATTTCCTGACACGTCATTGTATCAACCATACGGCTTAGAATTGATGTTTTCTTGTTTCATCGACTCTTTTGTCAATAAATTATCTCGATTTAGAAATTTTTCATACATTGAACTTACTCTTCCGAATCGAATCAACTGAGAGAAATAAACCCAAATAAACCCCGTGTGCAGACTATAAAAGCATACTGCTGCATAAGTAAAGTAAGTTGACGATTGAAAAAATAAAGTCATCACGTTTATTATTAAGTTGGATAGTTAGGTTACCATTAACGTTATTTTCTAGTAAATTATCAAAGCATGAATGTGAACCAATTCTCAGTTTTAGTAGGAACCACAATAGGATAGCAAACAGATGCGTCAGTGTATGATACATGAATCAATTAAAAAATGTGTATCATACTTTCTGTTCTGTCATCATTGTCATAACTAGTTGCAGAAATGAATTAAAAATGAATTAAACGTTTTTTTTTAAATTCAAATCATACACCGATTTCAAAACGCCAAAGAAGGTTTGACTTTTAAATTGGACAATGATGGATAACAAGAAGAAAGAAGATTAAATCCCCTTGTAGAGTTTTTGTTCTTTCCTATTGCAGACAAATATACAAAAAGGGTTGCGTTAAGAATTTGGACATATGGTAAAAAATGATATTCCCATGATTATGTCAAATTAATTTACTAAATCACTAGTTTAAGACAAATTTTCTATAAGTGTAGCTTACAAACATTAACAAGGTGGATCACATGTTAAAGGAAATGTCGATTGCCTAACTTTGGAAAGTTACACGAGTACTTTTGTAGGACATTTGAGCAGTGAGGAATCTTTTTCGTGCTTGCACCTGCCAAAGATTATACGGTCGTCATCTGATGAAGAATAGGTCTTCACTTCAAACAATGATCATCCTACCTTAGACCTTAAGACCATTCCTTATCTGCCATTCTAGAGCAAACGCTATAACCATGTAGTCGACTTCAGACTTATTAAAGACAGATGAGCTTTTACATGAGACGACTGGGCTCTGTACGTTTACGTCAAATCGAAATTAATTTTCCAGTAAAAATGAATGGCATGAAACCTTGTATCATATATCAGCCAAGAAGATACTTCAGATCATGTATGATAAATTTTAGTAATTTTTCCTGATTAATATTGATTAATTTGTAATTCGTCCGAGAGAGAGAGAGAGAGAGAGAGAGATTCACACTAATGTATAATGTTAATCAGACTGATAATTACAGTACATATGATTAACTGGTTGTGCACTCCCAAAATAACCTATGAGGTCAATTAGCACAATAAGACTTTGAGCGATATGTTTTTTTCCTAATTTAATTTGATAATCTGCTTAACAGGTGTGCAAAAAGGATCCCGATGATAGCCTATTTGCAGCTAATTGATGAACTATCAAAACTTTAAACCTCGTGTATATCACACCACTGAAACACAAAATTAGTGTCGATTCAAGTGATTAGAGGTACGTGGCTGATGGATACCATTTTCTTTGAAAAATGTTTTATATTCCATTTGGGAATTTCTCACTAAAAAGGTGTTACTATATATACTAGTGAAGGGTTCAAATTTTAACCTTTACTCTGCACTCAAGGCCATTGAGCAGTGAGGGTTTTTTATCGTGCCATCGGCTGCCGTGACAAAGGGTATCGGTTTCTAAAGTCTCCCCCGAACTTTAACTTTTTGGCGAAGGAACTGTTGCTAACTATTTATTTTTGATCCGACTCACTCTAGGTCGGGGTTCGAACCCACCACCTTTCGATCACGAATCTAGGGATCTATTGACTGACCAATACCTTGATGGTCTGATCATGTTCTAGCAAATAAATAAATGAAAATTCAATCTGGTTATGTTAACAAATCTAAGATCAGGGAAAATATATCCTGGTGACAATTTAGAATGCGATGAATGAAAATTTCAATTACCAAATAATTACACGAATTTTCCGTTATGTCCTGATCATGAGGAGGAGCACACACGGTGGGTGTGACCGGTCGGATCGGCAGGGGATACTCACTCCTCTATGGCACCTGATCTGATGTATTGGAGGTCGAGATCCGTGTTTGCTCTGCATATATTGATTTTGAATACTGTTTGTTATCTCCATATGTTTCATGACACTGGCCACACTTTTTAAATGCGAATTATGTCCCCTATATTAGATCCACACAAGCAGAAATCGACAATTAGGAAGATCTCAGGTGCAAGCCTTAAAATGAATTCCGGTGAAGTAATTATTGGACATATTTATGTTTTTCTTATCTAATCAATTGATCCTCGAGCGGCTGTAATGAACACACAGCTGTCTTAATAAGTAAGACGTAGTACTATTGCTATAATTTTGTCTTTTCCTCAATTACCAAAATCAATGTTATGTTATTATATCAAATTGGTTACAACCCTTTCTTTATGACAAGCACTTGTCCATAGAAACTATTTCTTCGCGTACATGTGTATCTCAAAAGATGAAGAAGACATACAAAAGACGCTCTTCTATTCTTTAATTGGAAGATTTTTAATGATGATTTGGAGACATTTTTCTTCTATTCCTATATAAAACAAATTTCGTTTTCTCAAGGCTATTTTTAAGGGAAAAAAATAAATGAGGCCACCAATGTATATATTTGCGTCATGAACGCCTATAGAAATATTCTTTGAAGAAGATCCTTGTTTGGTTAAAACTGGAGAAAAGTTACGGTTTTAAAATGACATACGACACAAGCAGGCATCACGTGAAAAATAGAAGAGGAAGCCAAACAATATTTGATCAGGAGATCTCTAATTTTACATAAAGAAACGGTGAAACGGTGATAAATTTCCGTAAAAGCCCAACATTCTTGTCATAGAACTTACTAGTCAGAAGTTTCAAAGAAATGCAGTTTCTTTGTATACATTCAATTTTAATATCTGATGGCTGAAAACCGAATTTCATAGCTTGGTGCTATCGTAATTTGTTTTCTCAACAAAAAGTCTGTCTGCATATTCAGCTTTTACGAATCCAACGCAATTTCTTAAAATTTGTCACCCTAAAAAATGGGAAAAGCTTGATTGTAATACGGCATATTTGAATTCATCTCACAATATGCGTCGTTATCAAAACTCTATCCTTTTATTATGTGTCAATGAGATAAGCCGGAATTTATTTTTCCATTCATACAGTGTCGATACTTAGTCGCTAGGTTTACGGGTTATCTCCCCTTTTCTATGCATCAATGAAAGTGAAAGGTGGGTAAAGAAAGTATCCGATTTATTTTTACTTTGTTTTGTATTATGAAATATTTTATCATAATTTCCAGTTTTTAAAGTTAAGTTTAGTCAGATAAGTAACATGGATTATCCTATATACATTGATATTGCTCGATGGCAAATATTTGATTGGATTGAAACAGATCGATTTGCCACCCGTCCATACTTTAACGGGTGAAACACAATATAGGGCGCATTTAGAATACCACAATGTTATACATGATTTTAAGAAATGTTATTTTCTTTACATGCAATTTATTGTAATTCATTTATAGGAATACTTATAAAGGACTTGTGTGCAAAATTTTGTTGATCTAGCCTTAACAGAATTTAAGTAAATGCAAAAAATGTACCCCCAAAATGACTATTTTTCAGCGTTATGCGGTTGCGCTTTGAAATTACAGCATTTTTCAATTGAAATAATTGTTAAATATCATACATTTTCATGCCACTGATCATTATCAGACTTTAGAATTTATTTTACAAATTATTTTGGTGCTTGAATTTTCAGTATTGAATAACAACTTTTGAAGATATGAAAGAAAATGTAACAGGGGCGCAATGTTATACATTTTTCACATAATTTTACCCCTCTCATTATGCCAAATAGAAATAATGTCCATATTATTTAATTTTTCAGATTTATTGTCTAAAAACACAGTATTAATGCTCTGCTACTTACAGAAAAAAAGTTGGGTTATGTAACCATTGTAAAGAAATTTCATCATGTTTTAATGTGGAAATTTAAGTTTTTACAAAAAACTGTAGTGTCCGTAACCACTTAAATTATGTGAAATTGGAAGGCTCTACAAATATCTTAACAAATTTCCTAAAGAGGCATTTCATATAGATGCTGAGATGTGTTGTAATTTTCCAGATCATCACCACTGTTTCTCTGTTATGATCACAAATGTGGTTACGGACACTACAAAATCCTGTAGTGTCC